GACAGTGCCTGATGCATAGTGAGTTCTCAGTAACTGGCAGCTGTTTTTGTTTTCTGCACTGTCCTCTCTTTCATCAGCTTCCTTGCCTTACTCCAGGATGTCACGAGTCCTCAGGCTGTTCTTTTGCTGACCAAACTCTTCAGGAAGACTAAGTAGTACCTAATCCATCCAGGTCTTTCTCTCCTTTTCCCTAATGCAACCTTACCTGTCTTGTTTCATATCCGTTTAGAGTCCCCCCTATTCTCTCCTGGGGTAAATCTGATTCAGACAGTGAGTCCTTTGTTTTGCATGACTTCATGTGTCCTTTCTCCAAAATAGCATCTGTGTTTTAACAAGGGCCGTCAATGCTATATATAACCCAGTGGAATAAAAGCACCTCAGTCCTTCCACCTGATTGTGGCCCTCCCAGTGTCTAGAGAAAAGTGTTCATTTAGATCCTTGCCTCTCAAGTGTGGTCTGTGGACCAGCAGCTTGGGAACCACCCTGGTACTTGCTAGAATCTCAGACTTTACTCCAAACCTTCGCATCACAATTAGTCCAGCAATACCCCCAGGTATTCATATGCACATTCAAGATTGAGCAACACTGCTACAATAAGGAGCAGCTAGGGAAAAGTGAGGGCTCCATTTACAGGAAAGAAGATTTGTGTCCATGCTCCTTAAAAGAGGGCACCCAGAGCAGCTGTTTCAGAGCCCCTTAGATGGGGCTCCCATCGCCACCACTGGGAGAAGATGGTATCTCCTGGGGCTCCAGCTGCCATGCTGGATCTCTGGAGCTCCCGGAAGAGTCAGGCTCCTGTGATTGGAATCAGAGGGCTAATTGGCCCCACATAGCTCCAAATCCTGCCACTTGCGAGGGGAGTGACAAGACTCCCCAAGGAGCTAACCAAATGTAAAGAAAAAGGAGCCAAAGGCAAGGAAGGATGGAGAACTACATGCTAATGCCTGGGAGTCTAGCTGTTAAATTTCTATCTTCCTGCCCAAAAGTGCAAGGGAGAGAGCATCAGCCCAGAAGCCATCCATCTTCTCCATCCACCTGGTAGCCACATCCTGCCTAGCAACAGGTGTCAGCATGGGCTCCAGCTACCAGCTCCTCTTTGGACAGCAAGGGGGCTATCAGTGTAGCCCACAGAGGAACTAAAGTCAGGGCGTCTGCAGGGAGCCAGGTCATCTGATATATGAGCCAAGGAAAGAACTGTCTGGAAAACATGGGGACAGAGTACACTGTAGGGCTGTCTCTTAGAGGCAAGGAGTAGAGGGGGAAGAGCCTAGGTTGTGTGAAAGTGGTGAAGTTTATCTTCCCTTTCTCTGCTCCTCTAACCACCTTGAATAATGTTATCAGCAATATCACCACCTCTTCATTTGTGTGATAACGTTTAACCTTCCAAAGTGCTTCTGCAGCCATGATCTCATTTCGTTCTCCCAACGATGCAGAGTGAGCAGGATTAGAGACAGGGTAATTAGGCTGGCCGCGCAGACTCGGCCGGGTTATGTAGGGCTGAGGACCACTGTGCTGGGCCAGCCCTGTGATGAAGACTGAAAAGCCAGGGAGGCCCGGACCTGGAGTGGGCATAGATGGGGCTGCCAGGACTGTGGGCCCTGCTGGAGACTTGGCTGCTGCTAATACGCCTCAGCTGCTATAGGTCGCTTCTTCATCACCCACCTTGGAGGCTGGGATGGAGGAAGAGCAATCACCTCACCTATTTGGCAGGACAGTTAGACACTGTGAGGAGAGAATGGATGTGAAAGCACCTTTTGTCAGATGAGGTAATGGGTGTAAAAATGAAAAGAACTACATGGCTATAAAGTGTTGTTATCCTTAGGCAGAAAAGAAAGGCTAGGCCTTTCCCTGGGTCACTGACTAGAGCGGACAAGCCTGGTGCAGGGTGAGGAGACACTTTGGAGGTCTTGAGTAGAAGGAGCCAGAGTGAAGGCATTGCATGCTTTGCGGCAAATGACAGAAGAAAATAGCAGGTCTCACAAACAAAGCTGGGGATGGGGGAGGACCTAAGCTTTGGGTGTTTCATGATTTTCTTCAAGGCTGCCCTGTTTGAAGGGACTGGAAGCCAAACATCTTTCAGAGTCAAATTGCCTATTTCCCCTAGGAGGGCTGTCACGTGACCCGTGGACTGCTGAGCTCCTGTCATCCGTCACTACTTGCCTTCAGTGTCACTCCCAAGTCTCCAGACACTTAGCAAATTTCAGAGGACTGAAGGGCAGTCACTGAAAGATGCAGAGGCCAGGATGGAAGGGACAACTTCATCTGTATTGTAAAATAGCCATCTGGTCTGTTAATGGAGGTGTTTCTTCCCCTGCTGTAGATACCTGAGAAGTCCCAAGCAGTGTGAGGAAAAGGCTGCTTGCAGAACTGGGGGAGGATCTAGTTAGGGACAGTTAGTCCAGCTCAGTTGGGGACCACCCAGGAATGAATGTGCTCCAGTCACACTTGGAGACATGTCTGTGGCTGTGGGAGAAACAGCTGGGTCCCCCGTGGGAACATGGGGACCACCAGTGACAGAGCTCAGCTTCTTGTCTCCCTTCCCATCACCACTGCCTTTTCCTGGCCATAGAGCAGTTCTCACCTCCTCCATGGAACTCTGTCCAGCTCTTCTACCCTCCTCTTTGAACACACAATTTGGGACTTAATTATGAACTTCATATCCTATTTTCAGTTAACACTCTGATTCTCTTGTTCTGCGTACACTTGTCTTTCTTCCTCTGCTAGACTGGAAGCTTATCGAGGGCAGAAATCTGCAACCTCTGTGTCCCCCGAAGCTCTGACAGTCTGAATAGACACTCGATAAATACTTGTTGATGGATTAACATGCAGTGAAACACTTGTGTCACCAAAGGCTCTTAGCTCATTGGTTCCTCTGGCTCCAGGAATGTCTGTTTTCATCATTATTGGTGGTGCCTGCAGTCCAGTGGAGACTGAAACATCTCCACCTTCAGAAAAAGAAAAAGGTGGCAAAACTGAGGCTGCAGGGGCTGGGGAACCCTGAGTGCCGGGCGGCGTACTGAGCGATTCCATCTACACCTGGGTCTTCCTTGCTCGTGTCCCTGCTCCCCTTGCCACAGGCGGCTTAGCCTGACAGGCTCTCATGTAGTCCAGCTGCCCTGGCTGGGGCCCATGTCAGAAATGAGCTGGGGTCATCCCAAGAAGAGGCCCTTTTAGCTTCTTTGAGGTTGGATGACGAGAGGCAAAGGACTCGTTTGGGAAGCAGCCCTGGGGTGGGGCAAGATGGGAGCTGCAGGAAGATGTTCTCTGGCTCCCTTTAAGGCCACGCTCCTGCCTGCCACCAGCAGAAATGAGAGAGGCGCCAGCCTGAGGCCACCCTCACCAAGCCCCTGTCCTAGAAGGGTGCCTATCTAGGACAGCAGCCAACTGTGTTCCAGCTTCTGAGTGACTTTCCACTGAAAAGCGACCATTTATCTTACCAGTATGGGAGGGAAGCAGTCAGTTTCTGAATTTGCCTCAGGAGGCCTGACTTCACCCTAGCAGTGCCTTTGCCTCCCTAAGGGGTAACAGATCCCAAGCCAGCTTGGGTAAAGCCAGAGTTGAAGTGGCTGGACTTAGATCAGCCACAGTCTATCTTCCTTCCCGAGTTCTTCTGTGACACAGACAAGCCCAGGACTATGAATTCCTCTTTTATACAATTACTCTAAATCTCCCCCAGCCACCACCATAAATAGTCCTGAAGTGTCTTTCTATAATTACTGAATTTGTGTCCTGATAAACCACCTAATTGCTTGAAATCATTTGCTACTGAGGAATTTGGTATTCTTAGCTAGTTAACAATCACCCTTTTGGTGTCAGAAACTCCCACTTCTTTTACAAACCTACTAGTTTGATGAATTTACTCCTGGTCCTCTGTATGTTGTTTAGAAGGACCCTGCCCTGGAACCTTAATTTTCGAGAATATATATATATATACACTGAAGCTAGGAAACTCATCCCCTTTACTCTGCCAGAAAGCCAAGGAGTAGAGTGGTGCCAAGTCAGAGAGCTAAGGCTCTGATCCCCTCCCTTCCACCTCTACCTGCCCTGTCCCACCTGCTGGCCTTTGATTCCCCTCTTTACCTCCTTTCCTGCTTCTGGCCCCCCGGGGCCTTCACAATCCCCAGTGTCCCCACATCCTCACACCTCAGGGCTCTTCATTCGAATTCTGCACTCAGACCCATCCTTGCCTGCAGTACGCCTTACCCTGGCCCTTGCTGCAGAACCTCTATAAAGTCCTGTGTAATTCCTAAGCTTTGGTAACAGGTTGTGGGCACCAGGAGAGCCATCTGTAATCTCTCCCAGATTTGGGGACAATGATTTATCTTCTCCCAGCTCATCTGGAGTTCAGGTCTGCTGGCAGCCATGGGACAGCTCCCCTTCTTGCCCACAGGAGCCATTTTCCAGTTGGCACTAAGTACAATAGTGTGAGGTAATGGTCCTCAACATTAGCACATTTGTCTATATATGCCGTATAAGTAGTTAATATTGTTATATATAACCTAAGGGATAGTGCAGTTTAGAATTGCACAAGGACTTCATGAAGGTGCTCCACATTCTAAAACGGCTTCACATTCCCTCCCCACTTACTTGCCTGTTTTGTGATCCCTTCCCTCAAGGTTTTGGTTTCTCTTAGTTAATAGCCAATTCAGTGGGCCATACCAGTTGACCTTCAGAATAACATATTTGCATTTAGGCTCCTTCTAGAGTCCCAATATCTTGGAGGAAACGACTGGCTCTAATGTCAGGCTCTGTGGCACCAGTTTTCTCTGTTGGTTCTGGCCCTGTAGACAAGTAGCTTCCCCTTTCTGGACTCATCTGTCTCCAGTCTGAAACATGAGGCTGCCTGTCATTTGCCTCTGCTCATTCCAAGGGATCTAGGAAGCTAAGCATGTGAACTCCCGGTTGTCATGGCCAGCACCCTCATTGGCGTCCCTCCCAGCTGGTTCTGGGGCTTAGTTGCCTTTGCATCTTGTTTTGCTCCCATCTTCCCCTTCCCTCAGTCATGTGATGCAGGAAGAGAGTGCAAATGATATGGAATGTGAGCAGCTGCCAGCAGAGACGCTGCGACAAGTGACCATTCACCGAGACCCCATATGTGGCTTTGGCTTCGTGGCTGGCAGTGAGAGGCCTGTGGTGGTGCGATCTGTGAGGCCAGGTAGGTGTTCTTCAGAGTGTCCCCCTGGCCCTGCCTCCTGTCCCCCAACACCTGCACACTTTGCCAAAGAAAAGAGCTCTTGAGTTCACTATGTTGATGACGAATTCGTGAAGAGTGGGTAAAGACTTGCCAACCAGTAACTGTGAGGGCTGGCCTTTTAAGAGTGATCAACACAAATCATTGGGCTGCATGGGGCCTAGACAGGGGTTTAGTAGGGTCTGGGCCTTAATAAAGCTTACCTTTGCATAAAACCTTCATAAAAGAGCCGTACTGCCTTGGATGACAAATATGTGTTCAATTCAGTTCAACAAGTATTTACAGATTGCCTACACTAGGCCCTGCTGGTTGTAGGGAAGTACAAGGCATAGTTCCTGCCCCCAGAATCTAACCATCAGGCCAGGCAGGCTGATACATACTCATGAAAAAAGTCAACCACTGAAGACTGGAATCAGGATACAGACGATAGGTGGGAGAGGAGGGGAGAGGAGAGTGCAATCTCTGAATGGCACAGTGGCAATAACAACAGTTACCATGGATTGAGCACCTATTGTGTGTTTTACATCATCTTATTTAATCCTACAGCCAAGCCTGCAAGGCAAGTAATATCATTCCCATTTTATAAATGAGGAAACTGAGGCATAGCAGAAGAGAAATGTCCTGTCCAAGGTCACTCAGGTAAAAAGCAGCAGAACCAGGATTTGCACCTGGGCCTGTCTGATGCCACAGAGGGGAAGTAGGGCTTGAATGGGACCACGTGGGATGGAACAAGCCAAGGACCCACCTGAACTGTGAAATACTGCCATCATGAATGGAATGGGAAAGGGCCTAAGCACTGTTTTCTTCCAGATCTGCTAGGCACTGACAGACAAGACAGACATAAAGGATCTTTATTCCTGACTTGCTAAGCCTGAGGCTTTAGATGTTTACAACAGTTTCTCGTTCAGTCAAGAGGAGCAGCTAGGGTACAAACTGGTCTAGCAGAAATTTGATGAATTTTGCAATCCTTGAAGGAAAAGAGAAAGATTTTTGTAAGGTCTCTCCTCAACTAGAGGACATAGAGAAGAAAACAATTCAGCACAGGAGTTTGTGGCTGACCTAAGGCTCCCAAGTCAGCCATGCAGTTTGGCAAAAGGTCTGTGAGTCTCTGATCAGATATCAAAGGTGTCCTGGGTAAGAGGAACCAGATAAAACTTAGAAACAGACCACCAGGAACCCCTGCTTTAACTTCAAAGAAGACAGAATTCACAGGGCCAAAAGGAACCCCCAGGCCTAGGCTAGGGAGTCAGCTTCAAGTGGCATGAGAGTGAAGAGAGAGAGTTGGAAGAGTGGAGAGAAGGAAAGCCACAGGGGAGAGCCATGGGAAGCCAGGTGGCTGTTAGGCACAACCCTGTGAAGATGGGCTCATCTGCAGAGCTGTTTCCAGCCCAGGTGGCTCGCAAATGTAGAGGACATGTTTGAGTTAGTATCTGAGACCACAGGGGAAGAGGAGAGGTACCCTATAGAGGAACACTTATGGTTGAGCAACCCAGCCAAGCATTCCTTCAAAGCCGTAGTAGGGTGTCACTAACTACTGCCAGCAGAGAGTTGAGATCCATGAGGACCTCATCCGTTTAAAAGGGAGGAAAGGAAAAAGAGAGGGAAGAGGTAGAGTGGCCTCTACCTAGAAGACTGGCATTTTGGCAGAAGTAGGTAGAAGGGATGAAATAAGCCGAAGGAATTATCCCTTGTAGGATATAATAACTGCTGGTTATCGAATTCTTACCAACAGCAGTCACCTGTTGTAAGTGCTGAATATTCATCATCTCATTTATCCTCCCAACATTCTTATGTTGTGTGGGTACTGTTATTTTCCCATTTTACAGTTGAGGAAAGACCTAGAGTGATTTGATGTCTCATCCAAGGTCACACAACTCCCAAATTACGGATTTGGGATTACAGTCCAGGTCTCGCTGCCTGTGAAGAGTGAACTCTTCACCACCATGTCCTCTGCTCCTAGTCATCGTGCTGTTGGGAGACTTGGCCAAGGGGGTAGAGGGCCATTGCAGCTGAGTGGTGAATCCACTGGCTGAGCTGGCAGAGTCACCCTCAGCACACAGGTTGCACACTGCCAAGCCACTGAGCTGTGCTCAAGTGACATAGTTGCTTTGCGTGTTCATGTCTTTGGAATTTGCACAGCACACTTCTTTGTAGAGACAGGGAGCAGTTGGGATCTAGCCCTTTAAAATGGACAAGAGTCAAGGCTGCTTTGCACGTGGGACATGTCATTAAACATTTCAGATCTTCAGGTCTGCTTTCTTAACCTTAACAGCAGACAGAAGAAGAAGAGAAAGTCAATTTCCTACTGCCTGTGATTTAGGGGCTGTGCTTGTTCCCCCTCATTTATGAGATAGTAGCATCTCTCAGAATTGAAAGAAAATAAACCCTTTGGGTCTTTTAATCCATCCCTGTGTCTCCAGGCAACTGAATACCTAAATTACTGCGCACCAGAGGGTATGAATAATGGTCAAGTAAGAAGATTCCTCACCTTCCTCCCATCACCTGTACCACCTCCACTAGTCTGGAAGTCATTCCTTGTGCCTAAATAGATCCCTCCTGGTGAAATGAATGTCCATGTTCCTCTTTAGGACCAAGCCAGGAAAGCACTTAACCTTGTCAGAGGACAAGGCCAGGCTTGGGACCGTTTGCTACACACCCCTCCCAGCCAAAGGAGGTCCACTCCGTATCATTTCTTCGGTCTTGTGCCCTCTGCTTGGCACAGTTTGAACAGTCCCGCACAGCCTGTGCCACCTCCTGCAGGTGTCAGTACCCTCTTCAGCTCCCTTAGGCACTGGTGACTCCTTGGCCAGACTCCTGTTTTCCCAGCAGTGGCCCCAAGCCCTCACGCCTCTCTCCTCTCCTCTGCAGGAGGCCCCTCTGAGGACAAGCTCCTGGCTGGTGACCAGATTGTGGCTATTAATGAGGAGGACGTGAGTGAAGCCCCCAGGGAGAGGTTCATAGAGCTTATCAGGTAACAGCGGCCACTTGGGCCTTGGCAGGAGCTGAGCACTACTCCTTCCCCTATTGCACCAGCGGCGTAGGGCTGCCACGGTCCTCCCTGGCCCTGAGAGAGGAGTCCCCGGGGCAGAGCAGCCACCACCAGAGCTCCTGGCTACCTAGGACCACAGGAGCCAGCCTTTCCAGGGCCCCAGGGGCCATCATGAGCTCTTGCTTAGCCTCCTCCAGTGATGTAAAGAGACACACACCAGCTTGCTGCAAGAGCTCACCTCCCTCTGCCCAGCTACCCCCTTGGCCAAACTGCTTGCTTTTTGAGTTACTGTGCAGTGGGACAGACTGAGTGCCGGTGAGAACCAAACAAGCCATTAAAAGAATGCTGAGACCAGTACAGTGAGCAAAACATTGTTTCCCACCTCTCCAACCCCCCAAAAAGCCCCATGGAGAAGAAAATCCAAATTCCTGTCCAGGGGTTGAGGAAGGGAACCTGCCATGGTAGATTTTACTCATGGTGTATGTGGCCCCTGAATGCCTCCACAGATGACAGCAGGTGAGAGAGACAAAGGAGTGTCGGGGGACCACACCATCTGTACATAGGAGTGAGCACATGGACTCTTCCCCTCCATTTCCTCTACACCCCCCCCCACATAAACACACACTGTGCGTACCCCCACCAAGCAGACATACACCACACACACGTACCACCCTTGCATGGATTTATAGATAAAGAATGTGGGGATAGAGGTGAAGGCTCTAAATTCCATGGGTTCGATCTTCAGTTTGGAGGACCTTGGCTCTCTCCCTGCAAATGGAACCATGTGTTCTCTCATTCTCTAGCTCTCTGCTTGCATAGTCTGTTCCATCTCTGCCTCCATCTCCTTCAACCGCTTTTGGTTTGGAGTGTTTCCATCCCACTCATCTTTCTTGTTCTCCCAGATCCCACCTGCCCTCAGAGCCCCTCTCTCCCCTTCAAAGGCAAATAGCACTCTGTAGGGAGCAGCAGTCTCTCACCAGCTATGGAGGGATTTGGAAAGCTCCCTCCTGAAGTCCAGAGCAGATCTTCCTTGACGTATTACCCCTCCAGCTCAACATCTTGGAATGTGTCTGGTCCCTAAGGTCCTTTAGTTTGTTTCTTCATCAAGTTCAGTTGTCAATTTTATTCCCCCACCCGCCACCACCAGACCAATATGGGGTGAGTCCTTTCAATGCCATCAGGGCATGTTGGAGTTCTTTCAGCCTGGATCCCTCAGAAGTCTCTTGCTTTGCTTCTAATGGGTATATTTGCACCCTAGAACAAGGAAGCTGAATCTTTTGAGGGAGTCCAGAGCTCATCCAAGATCAAGACAGGGCTCACTAATTTGATAACTGCAGGCCCTAGTAGATCATTCATTCGTTCGTTCAGTGAATATTTATTATTGAGTATCTACTGTGCACCAGGCACTATTCCAGGCACTGAATATACAGCAGTGAATCTAGACAGAAATCCCTGCCCATTGGGGTTTACTAGTGGAAAGAGACACACGATAAATGATAAACATGATAACCAAGTAAGTGTACAGTATACAAGAAGTTGATGAATGTTATTCAAGGATAGAAAGTGAATCAGGATAAAGAGAATCAGGAGAGCTGGGCTTAGGGTGTGGAGTGCAACTTTAAATAGCATGGCAGTGTTGGCCTTACTGAGAAAGTGACATCTGGAGAAAGACTTGAAGGAGGTGATGGTGTTGGGGAAAGAAGAGCCAGTGCAAAGGCCCTAAGGCAGGAGTGTGTCTGGTAAGTTTGGGGAACAGGGGAGAAGCCAGCATGTGGAGTGGGGTAAGAAAGTGGAGAGCTGTAGCCACTGGAAGGACTTTGGCTTTGTTCTACATGCAATGGGGCGATGCGGCAGGGGCTGGGGCAGGCAAGTCACATAAGCCAACCTGGAATGCAACTCCTTCCTTCTCCCAGCAGCTTTCCAGACCCTGAACCTGGTTCATTCCTAGACTTTGCCTCATGAATATGGGATATGTTCCAAGTCCTTGAGCACGGGGCCTTGGCCTGTCTTGAATACCCAGAGCCAAGGGCATCCATCTTGACTCTGCTTCTTGGATACCTTTGTTCCCAGAAACATTTGAAAAAGGTCAGCAAAGAAAGAGGAAGCTCCTTCAAGGCAAACTCTTTCCATTTCTTTCAGTTCTTTTAAAGGATCATGTATTCCTGGGAGACAATTTTTGTACCTCACAGCCTGTTTGATCATTGGCATAATTCTTGCCAGAAGAGTTTCAAATTCTTCATCCTTTTGAATATTTGCTATCTGGAGAGTCCTGTTGCTCCCTGGCTCTCATTTTTTGGTCCTTCAGTTAAAACAAATCTGCTGAGCATGAGTCATGATAACCAAATGACCTCCTTTGGGTTTTTCCTTTGAATTTCTCCTCTTGCTTAAATACCAAATTGCCAGTAATCATGGTACATGGTTCCCAGGACTCTGACTGTGTGCCCTTTGAGTTTCATAATTCAGGCCTTCAGTTTTCCTTGAGAATTTTCTAGTCTACAGATAAAATTGCTCCCAAGGTTTGGGGACTCCTACAAGAGAATGTGAGAAGGAATATAAAAAGAAGACCTGAAAAATGATAGCTCCAGAGATAATAGTGACACCATCTTCAGATGCCTGTATGAACCTGTGAAGACAGTTTATGTCAGCTGCCATAACTGATGGGAGGCGAGGCAGCCATGCAGATACTCAGATTGCCCTCTGTCCTAATCCATATACCTGAATGCAGCCCAGGGGAAAATCTTGTGCTAGATGAATACCTAGTGCATGATACACTACTCTCCTGTTCCCTCTTCTCTCTGTAGGAGCGCTAAGGAATTCATCGTTCTTACAGTTCTGCACACTCATCAGGTGAGTGAGCCTCTTTGCCATCCATCCACCCTTCCTCCTACTGAGACAAGAGGATCCTATATTGGAAGACTACAGTGAAGGCGGGTGGGAGACTCGGACCCACATGTTGTGAGCCAAAGATCTAGGAGTGCACTTAAAACATAGTTCTGAACATCTTGTCGACTCTCGCGTTGATGGCTTGAGGATTCTGAAGGGCTGTACAGTGCTGTGTTCTGCCCTGTCCCCTCTGCTTTATCCCACTGCCCCAGTTCCAGACATTTTCTGCCTCTTTTTTGCTGTTTCCCACAGAAATGTACCTGTCCCGGTCCAACTCCCATAAAGTCATTGTGGATGGTGGGTGCTAGTCTTATTCATTCATACAGGTATTTACTAAATGACCTACAATACATGATGCCCAGCACTGTATATAATATAAAGTTGCTAGGGAGGTACAGTTGGACAAGCAGGTTCACCTCATCTCTGTCCTGGTACAATGACTAACTGGCTGTGTGACTTTGGGTGAGTCAGTCCCCTTTTCTGAATCTGTTTCCTCATCTGTAAATTGAAGGGTTTACACTGGAGCAGTGTTTCCCAAACTACCTGATGATGATAATCACAGGACTATTTATTAAAAGTAAAAATCCCCAGGCCCCTCTCCTCAATGGTTGGATTCAGAAGGCCCAGTGTCCATTACTAGGTTACATCCTCAGAGTGCTCTTAAATGCACAAACGCAGGTGCAAAACTTCCATGTGCAAAACTCAGAGCCCTCCTTCCTCCTCTGGCCTGGTGGTCTCTTCCCAGTGTTCCTAACACTCCCCTGCACCCCAGCACTGATGTCCCACTCCCATCCCATAGCCACAAGAGAGGTCACACCTTCTGGGGATGGGGAATATGATATCAGGGGAGGCTTCATGGAGGCAGATGCACCTGAGCTGAACCTTAAGGGATAGAGCAGGATTTCCCAGGCAAACATGGAAGAATTTTCCAGAGAAAGACAATGTTTCTGTGCAAAGCCAAGAGCAGTGCACAGGTGCAAAGCATGGGCTTACACACACACACCTACGTATCCCTGACAAACAGACTTTTCTCAATTGCAGTTCTCCTCTATCTCTGGGCAGGCAAGCCCCATCCTTCAATGGGTGTTACCAATAGGCCTCTCCCTCCCCACCTTCCTGCACATGTGCAGTTGCCTAGTGGGCAATGGGTAGTCAGTCCCCACACCCCAATCTCCTGTCATGAAAATGGCCACCAGGAGTCCCCTAAAAACATGCTGGTTGTGTGGTTATATTTTACCACTCTGATCAGAGACCCATCATGGGTTACTCTGTTAGTCAGGTCTCTTCAAATGTTACCTCCTTGTAGAAGCCTTCCTTGACTACCCTTTCTAAGAAAGCATCCACCTGTCACTATCTCATGATACTGCTTAATATTTCCATCAGAGCTGAAGTATTGTGTTTTTTAAACTTTTTATTTGTAAATAATTGTAGCTTCATAGGAAGTTACAAAGCTAGTGCAGACATCTCTGTGTACCCTTGACCCAGTTTCTCCCAATGGTTACATCACTATAATACCAGTCAAAACCAGGGCATTGACATCAATACAGTGTGTGTGTATGGCTCAGTGTCCATCTGGCACATGTGTGGGTTTGTGTATCCACCAATACAGGCAAGATACTGGACAGTCCTGTCACTAAAAGGACCCCTCATGTTGCCCTTTTATAGCCACACCCACCTCCTCCCAACCCCAGATGCTGTCAACCACTAATCTGTTCTCCATTTTTATAATGTTACCATTTCAAGAAGATCACATAAATGAAATAACACAGCATGCAACCTTTGGGGCTGGCTTCTTTCACTCAGCATAATGTCCTTGAGAGCCATCCGAGTTGTTGCCTGTACCAGTAACTTCCTTGTTACGGCTGAGTTAGTAGTCCGCGGTAGTCCATGCTCTGGAGGAGCCGCAGGTTGTTTAGTCATCCACTCAATAAAAGACAGCTGGGTTGTTTCCAGTTTGGGGCTAGTATGAATGAAGCGTGTAAATATTCATGTGCAGGTGTTCTGTGAGCACAAGTTTTCATTTATCTAGGACATATGCCCACAGTGCTATTGCTGGGTTATATATTGGGTGTATGTTTAGTTTATTAAGAAACTGCCAGACTGCTTTCCAGAGTGGTTGTATCATTTTACATTCCCATGAAATATTACATTTCTATATATTTGTTATCTGTCTTCCTCATTAGAATGTCAACACTGCGAGGGTAGAAGCTGGGTTTTGTTCACTGCTCTATCCCCAGGACTTGGCATCCACATGGCACAGCATAGGCCCTCTGTAAATACTTAGAGAAGAAATGAAGGAAACCCAGGTTCTAGCCATCACAGCAACCTCAACTAAACTCAACTCCAGTGGGCAGCATGAAGAGCCTAACACTCCCTCCATCCCTAAACTGTCATCTCAGTGCCCCCAACACTCCTTTGCTCCCTAGTTCCAATCCCACCCTATGGCCTCTTTGCTATGGCCAGGCTGCTTTCCTTCTCCTCCTTGTATATATATCTTAGTTCTTACTGCCCTGAGGACTTCTGTCCTTGTACTAGTCCTCATGTCTTTTAATACATGTCTGTTCCCTTTAAGACCTGGCTTGAGACTCGTGTCTTCCAAACACCTTTGCCTAACTGACCTCAATGACAGTTTCTAATTCATTCATTCATTTAACATTTATTGAATACTTACTATTCTAGGTGCCCTTCTAGGCTGGGAATATAGCAGCACATGGGACACACATGGTTCCTACCTTCACAGAGCTTAAATTCTAGTTCTTGGCCTTGTGTTTTCTAAACCCTTGCAGCATAGAAGTGGGTCAGCACATGCACACAGGGGTGACAGGCAAAATTACTAACAACCTGTACAGTAGGGGTCATCCAATCAGAATGTAAGCCAGCCTTAGGTACTGGAGCAGTCTTGGAGGCCTCCTAACTGTGCCAGGCATTAATCCTTCAGTTGATCACTTGTAAAGAGGTCCCAGGGGAGAGGTCAGTGGCACCCAGGAAGCTGAGGGCAGTGGCTACTTACCAATCACTGTGAAAGAATCCCTCTGTTTTACAACAGGTATGGCCGTACCAGTGTATCCCAACTGAATGTCAGCCTTGCATACATACATGTACAGTCAATCCTAATTATTCTCAGATTCTATATCTGCAAATTCACCTAATCTCTAAAATTTATCTGTAGCCCTAAACTCAATACTCAAAGCGCCTTGCCACTTGTGGACATGTGCAGAGTATGACAATTTTGAGTCTCCCAATGCACATGTTTCCAGTTGAGGTCCAACAAGGCAACATTCTGCCTTCTCACTTCTGCTGTCACACAGGGGAGTCCAGAGGATGGAGACAGTAGCGGGCAGTGAAGTAGAGTGTAAGATGCTCCAGCTCTGGGAACAGTTGGATGGGGTTTCAATCCCAACTCTGGAATCTGTTAGTGGGGTGGCCTCTGGCAAATCACTTAACACTTCAGAACCTCGTTTTCTCCTGGTAAAATGAAATAGACTCTACCAGGATTAGTTGTTTGTAGAATTTAAGATTATAATCTATGTGAGACACGTATTTCCCCCAGGAGCAACTGTTCAGTATTCATTAATTCTGTGGTGTTGGAGGTGACTTTCTAGAACATAACTACCGTGAGTAACTAGAATCCACTGACAAAGAGAATTTTCTCTCTCAAGCTATAGTGAAAGCTTCTTGATGACCCCCCCGTATATGTTCAGTGTTATAGCCTCTACATCACAGAACATAGTATACTGTGCCCATAGCAAGCACTTGGCATCTCACAGTTACATGGGGACTGCTGCCTCTTACCAAACTCTTGTTATGTTCAGGCTTGATTACCACTTCTTCCAGAAGACAATTTCCTGATAGGTCCATGATCTGGCCCAGGAATTTTTATTTTTAGTAAGAGTCACAGGTGATTCTGATGGTCAGTAAGATTTGGGAAACACTGAACCAGACCATCTCTATTGCTCCTTCCAGCCTCTGCATTCTGTGGCTGACAATGGTCTAATGCAGTGGTTCTCAACCCTAGCCATACATTAGAACTACCTGAGAAGCTGTTAGAAATATTGATACTCAGGCTCTAGCCCTGACCAGTTGAATTAGAACCTCTGGGGATGGCGCCCAGGTATCGGTCTTTTGAAAAGGCTCCCCAAATGATTCTTTTGTAGCCAACATGCCTATCAAGAACTATAGGTCTGATATGCAGTCTCTTTCAGATGACAGTTCCCTTTTATTGGAGTAACTCTTACCATGGCAGACCATTGGGGTTATTTTGGGGTATCACAGGGGTCCTTTTCTAGAGCAGACCACTGGGGTTATTTGGGGGTATCATAGGGGCCCTTTCCTAGAGCCCTTCAAACCATACCGCACAGTTATTTATTAAGCCTATATGTACTTAAGGGTGTTCTTTAATCTTTGAGTGACTATTTCCTGTGATTGACTGAATATATTAATCTTGGTATCATCCTTAGATGTTGGCACATAGTATGTCCTTGACAAATATTTTAAAATAAGGTACTTGGTTGTGACCTAAAATGGTCCTGGTAAAGCAAGCAGTCTTCAAATGAAACAGTAATTTTCTGGTTCTGAAAACTTAGCCTGTACTCAGCCTGAATTCCCTCTGCTTGGAGCCACTTGCACAGAAAAAAAGCCAAAACAATGGGAACCACTGCAGAAGAACTGGTTTTCCACAGAGCTTCTTGAGGTACAGTGCTTGGCAGATGGTAGGTACTCAAACCGTATTTGCTAAATTGATGAACTAATTCATTATTAATCTTAGCAATCAACTGCTCTCTTATTCTGTGCCAACTCTGTGCTTGGTGCTAGGGGGAGACATAGTCATATAAAATGTCATTTCTTTGACAGTCTGGTTGGGGAGATGAGTGATGGCAATGTAGATGAACAAGGAGTACTATAGACAGCCCAGGGAGGAGAATGGAGGAATTTGGGGAAGAGTTCAGGACCCAAGGTGGAATTTAAGCTGAGTTTTAGAGATGGCATTTAGCTGAGCAAAAGGGACCCTGGGGGCCCTGGGGATGGTGAAGAGATAGTATGAGGTGGGCACAGAAGTAGGAAGAACCCAGTGTGTCCAGGGAACTATAGGCAGAACCACTCAATGGACCACACATGGAGAATGAGGGCCATGTGTGGCTTGCACGGACCCTTGAAGACTGGGGAGAGGCCATGTTCACCTCTAGGCAGTCCTGAGTGCAGGAAGAAAGGTCCCCTGGGTCCCTTTTCAGTGGTCCAGGGAAACCAGCAAGGTGGTTCACGGTCCTAGGCTTCCACAGTGGTGGCTTCGGGAATTGCATATAAATAGGCTCAGGTGTCAAAGACAGTGAGCCAGCAGAAAGGATGAGGAGGCCCTGAGAGCTTCAGGAACCTGGGCTCTGTCCCCTGAAAATTCCTTCACAGTAATCAAAGTGGGCCCCTATCTTGCACTAAAATGTTTAGCCATATACCTGACTTTGGCCAAGATGCAGGTGAACACGACCCTAGAATCTACTAATAAAGCCACCGAATTAAAAAATGGTCAAAGAATCACCAGCTGCTGGATTCAGTCCCAAGGGAGAAACAGACTATCTCTTCTATTGCTTATTCCACTGAGCTATTGGCTTCATATTTGCTTCAAGGGGCTTGTGTTGGCCCCGGAGGTACTTAGCAATTCTAGTCCAGTGTTTCAAACCAAAATTCATTTTAGCCAGCAAGGGTGCCTGTTGCAAAATAAGACTTAGAGCTGCTTACGGTCAGTGAAGAGTTCAGATATTGCAGCTTTAAGATACTCAATTAGTCTATGCTTAATGGGTTAGAACATTTTCAACACTATAAATTCCTGGGCCCTACCCTCCCAAAGATTCTGATTTTTTAAGCCTGTTACGGGCCTAGAAATCTGTGTTTTAACAAGCACTCCCCAGTGATTCTTATCAACAGGGAAGTTTTAGAAACAGTGCATGAATGCATGTTGATGAGCTAGTGCAGGAGTCTACAAACTTTTTCTCTAAAGCACTATTTGGTAAATATTTTAAGCTCTGTAGGCTATACCTGACAATGCAAAGCAGCCATAGATAATACATAACTGAAGATCCTGGCTGTGTTCCAATAAAGCTTTATTTACAAAAACAGGTGGTGAGCAGGATTTGGCCCATGCGGGCCTGTAGTCTGCTGACGCCTAAATTGTGTTCATTACTCCTCCTTGGTACCACATTCTTATTTTGACCAGGGCCTTCCCAATTCTCAATATTTTAATTCACATGAGTGGCCCTAGTACTAAGAAGTTCAGGCCCCATAGCAGAGCTTTAAAGATGCTTTGGTACTGAACAGCGTTTGGGAGCCCTTTGTCTCACACTGCAAGGCAGGCGTCACCTGCATCAAAGCCTAAGGCTAGACTTGACTCTGTGACATGTAGTAAAGAGTGATGTCAGTGAGTGAGTCCCCGTTAGCAGTCCAGCCTGAAGACAAGAATAGGATGGAATCTTAGAGACCAATAGGACAGGGGTCAAAGAGGAATGAGGTACAAATAAGCTATTTTAGTCCCTGAAAATATTGGCAATTCCACTTTCTCCTTCATGGTTTTGCTTCTATAAATATCAGAATCTTTTGTTTGTAATGGTATCTCTAGCACAGGATCTAATCTTGTTGGTAGGGATAGCAAGGAGGCTGCCACTCCCTATAGGCGAATACATAAAAGGATACTAGTTGGGGTTCTTCATATGTTCAAATCCATTTGAACCAGAACCAGTGGAAGATCAGGAGTACGCTTCCAGCTTCAGCCTGCTGTGGGGCACAATCACTAATTTAAGACTCAAGAAGTCTAGGTTCTAGGTTCGGCTTTGGTACCAAATTATTTTGATACTCAGAGTAAATCATATCCTCTTCCTGGGCCTCTGTTTCACATGTAAAAATGAAGGGTAGACTGCATGGCCCATTCAGGTCTCTAGAAATGCCTCATGTCATACCGTGCATGGGGGCCTCAAATGACAGATGATCACAGAGAAAGAAGAGAGTGAATGTCAGGTAGAATGAAGATTTCACCTGTCTCAGGTTTGTGGCACCTCAGATAGAAATTTGGACCACTGTGGGGATGGAGTCAAGCCTGAATGTAGCTATAGATCTTTCTGTCCTGCCCTTTCACTTTGTTCCTGGTGCAGCCTACAGCCCCTGCCCACGATCTGTGCACCAAGCTATGCAACACACAAAGGCATTTCTACTCCCATGAACAATCAATACTGTAATCACTTTTTGCAACGATCTCCAACCCTGGATTTTGTTGTGCTATATCATCTGCTGCCAACAAACTGTCCCCATGGCACAGGATGAGACGTCTATAGTTCCTATAACTCTGGTTCCCAATCTTAGCTGTATTTGGAAATCATCAGAAGCTTAAGGGAAATACTGATACCTGGGCCCCATCCCCAGAAATTCAATGAAATTGGTCTGGGGTGGGACCTGGGTACTGGAATCTTTAAGAGCTACTCCAGTGTTTCTGCCGTGCAGCCAGGACCGACACCTGCTGCCTAAAGTTCTGCTAGACTCGGGTTAAACAGGTGGCTTTCTGCCATCTGCTTTCTTTTGGGAAATGAGATTGCTGGCTATGGAAGAGAACATAGCTGGGACAGGGGCCCAAGACCTGATGAGGACGTTTGTTTCTGCTGTGGCCTGATCTTAGGGTCCTGCCCTCCTGTGGCTGATCTAGTAAATGAATCTCAACTGCAGCGTTAATGGCAGAAAACAGCTTAATGCATTGCCTTCCCAGCTGGCAGACACCTTCAGGTCCTTAACACAAAGGAATTCTTGATTGTCAGACTCACATGCTCCACGGGAAGATGAGTGAGGGTGGTGGCTTGAAGGAGTTCTAAACCTGATTTTGGTGAGGCAGTGTCCAAGTCTTTCTCATCTCAGTAAATGGCAATTTCCTTCTTCCTCTCTTGACTCCTCTCTTTTTCTCACCTCCCACATCCAATCCGTCAACATACCGTCTTGGTTCTATCTTCAGACTATACCCAGAATTCACTCACTTCTCATCGTCTCCATTATGACCATCCTAGCCCCAGGCTCCATCATAGTTTAACTCCATTACTGCAGTAGACTCTGAACTGGGCTCCCTGCTTTGGCCATCACCCTCCTTCACTTTTTTCCACCAAGCAGCCAGAGGCATCCTTTTAAAATGCAAGTCAGACCTTGTCTGTTCAACGTTCCCCAGTGGAGTACAATTCAAAGTTTACAAGACCCTATGTGACCCAGCCCCCAGCTTTGAACATGACCACTTGAACTCCTCCTCAAACTCTGTTCTGGCCACATTGGGCTTCTTTACTGTTCCTCATGCACCTCGATCTTATCCACCTCAGAGCCTCTTGTTCTTTCTGCCTGGGAGGCTCTTTCTCCAGATACCATCATGGCTGTCTCTCTCACTTCCTTCAGGCCTCTGCTTAAATGCCACCTCCTCAGAGAGGTCTTCCCTGATCATCCTAAGATAATGCTCCTATCATTCCCAACCTCGCTCACTCATTCTCTTGTGTCCCCTTACCCTATTCAATTTGTCTTCCTAGTCCTCATTTGCTACCTAAAATATACTTGTTTATTATCTGTCCCTGCTAGAATGTGCACTCCTTGAAGCCAGGGAGTGTCGTCGGTCTTGTTCACTGCCGAATCCCTCATCACCTAGAACAATGCCTGGCACATAGTGGGCCCTCCCTAAATTTGTCATATGAATGAACAAATGCCCCTGAAGACATGAGGGTGTCCCTCACCAGGACTCCTGCATTTCTTCAAATTCAAGGAGCACCCAAGAAAGACTTAGTTGCCAGCATTTGGTAACCATGCATCCTGCTGAATTTGTGGGGGAGTTTTCAAGAACTAGAGAGCCTAACTGATTCTCTGGGCATTTCTTATAGAACTGGAGGAACAAAGTAGGGAGCCCAGGACTGTCCTAGAAACCTAGGACACCTGGGTGAAATCCCCAGTGTCTCTGTTCCCAAGTAGTGTAGAAACTGTGGGTAAATCATTTTGGAGTGCTAGGCCTCCTTTCTCCCACACATAAAATAATATTTTCTATGAGCCTCCTTCCTAGGGGTGGGGCATATCTGTGAGATGAATAAGATAGTTTCTGTAAATCCTTTGAGATGATCATATTCAGATATAATGAAAACCACTGTTTAGGTTTATCTCACATTAAGAAAACCAAATATATAAAAATTCAGTGTATGATATTACTAACAAATTTTTGCAGACTCCCCTAGGCCTAAAGCATTAGTAATGAGATTCAATTTACCCAAATTCGATTCATGCCCAGTTTTTTCAGAATATACCGATCATGTAAGGAAGTGCTTAGCACATTGCCTTGCACCTAGTAGGGAATCAATATTTATTGACTTACTGGTCAGTAAGGCAAAGTGTACCTGAACTGAGACATCTTAACTCTGACGTGGCAAAGGTCAGGTTTTACCCAGGGATGGAGAACTCACCAGCCGTCTGTTCTTTTTCCAGTCCCCCAAATCTGCCTTCATCAGCGCTGCAAAGAAGGCCAAGCTGAGATCCAATCCTGTGAAGGTCCGATTTTCTGAGCAGGTGGCAGTTGGAAAAACAGACGCAGTAAGTGCAGCTTCAGCTCCCTCTACTCTGTCCAGGGCCAGAATCGGCCTGGCCAGCAACATCTCACTCTGGAGCCCTTGCTCATCTGCTGCTCTGCAGAATGCACAGCCTTCAGAAGGAATTGGACAAGGAGGACCTCAGGGTGCTGGGTGGGTGGTAAGTGAAGAGTGTGTGGCATCCAGAGAAACCCAGGGCGTCATGGGGAGAAGGAATATGTATCAGTTCACTCAGGCTCCTCATGGTGCTCAGAGAAATTTCTGTCCCTAGCATAGTATCTTAAACTCAGAAAAAGCACTCCATAAATATCTTTTGACTACTTGATAGAAGCAGGAAGGAAGTAGTGGTTTTCTGAAGATCTAGAGAAAGCGGCTGGTGAAGCAGCTCTCTTCGCATTGAAGTGGTCCTCCAGCTGCACGTCTCCACTGGAGAAGACTGTGCACTGATGGATGAAGGAGCCCAGGGGAATCATACAGACTCACATTATGTCAGAACACTTTTACTAGGCACCTGCTGTGTTCCCAGCACCACAAGGGATGCAAAATAAATACCTGGTCCCTGCTACTGGATACCTCTTAATGATGTTGGGGGGTGGAAGCACAAGTGGTTCAGATTGAGACAATGTAGAATCCCCTGCTGGGTGGATGGTTTTGAGGAGCAGGTGATGCTTGATAGTCCATGACATGTAGCTGCCAATTTGTGGGGGTAGGGGGTCATGGCCAGCCTGCAGTCTTTCTCCCTGTTCTGTGGTATCTTGCTGATGAGTTTCAGCCCTGGGCAAGTTCACTATGGATTCATTGTAACCAAAGAAATGACAGTAGAACATTCTTGGGGTGAAGGGTTATACCCAACTTTATTTCCATGGTGACAGGTCAATCACTAAAATCCCATCCACTCAGAGTAAGTCTGCATGCAGCAAGCTGGTTTCTGCCTCTGGGCCTCTGTTCTCAGTGCTGCCACCACTCCAGCCTCTGCTTCGCTCTCCTGCAGCCTTGCAGCCATGCCGCTCTATCACCCAGAGCACTGGGCCGAGCTCTTTATATGGAGTCAATAACAACATATTGCCCATACATGTGTAGTGAGCTAGCCAACCAGGGCCAGGTGAGAATCCTGGCTACAGGAACCTTCACTTTATCCACATGTGGGTTTACATGAGCTGAGCTGTCTGCTCCAGATAAGTAAATGAGAAGAGGTGAGTGGACTGCAGAACCATGTGTATTAAGCAGTCATGGATTATGGCCAGAGTCCCACAGGAATCTGCAGAAGTTTGTGACAAACCAGTGAGGATGGGAGCCGGGTGGGGTGGGGCCAGCCGAAGCTAATGGGTACTTGTGTGCTTTTGCAGGCTGCTGGTGGCTGGTCTCTTGAGAGGCCCATGGCATGTTTGCATTGAGGTACAGCTGCAGTTGAGAGAAGCTAGCAAGCCCAGCCTGAGTGGGGAAATCAGCAGGGTGCCAGGAGCTTCTATAGTTATTTGAGGCAGAGCCACCCAGAAGAAGGGATAGAGAAGACAGGTGTCTTCCATCTCCATTTCCCTGACTCTAATTCCCAAACTCAGCCCAGGCTCTCCAACCCTGTTCGAGAAAGGCTGAGAAGTCCAGGGGACCAGGTCCCCACTGGGTAAGCCACTGGAGCAATCGGTAGTTGGGATCTATGTCGGTCCTGGCAGAAGAGGTTGAAGAGAAGTGGGGTTTGGTGAGCAGAGAGGAAAGGGACCAGGATGGAGTCCCTGCAGATTATGGGGATGCAGACCCTGAGGTCTGAGTCACTAAGCAGATGTTTGTGTCCTGAACCCTGGAAAACCCAGAGGAAATGTGACTTGAATTTGGGAAGTACAGATACAACTTATCCCATCTCAGCATTACAGACTAATCATCCAAGGCCAGGCCACCCAGGGAAGACCTTCCTCCCCTCCACCCCTCCCCTTCCCCTCCTGTTTCAACTCTCCTATCCCTCCCCCACTCCCCTTCCTCTATCATGACTCTCCACTCCACACGTCTCAGGTAGCCACAGGCAGAGTCAGGCCCCCACTCCAGACCAATCAACACAAGTGCCCCGGAATAGCTAGTACCCACCCAGGGTTACTTGTGTCACTCCTGGAGAGAACACCAGCTGTGGTGTGAGGCTCTTGTCTGGGAGAGACAGACATCAATCTTTCCACTCAAGCTGTGCTCATAAAACTACCTGATGTCACAACACCCCACCACCACCACCACCCTCACCACCAGTGTGGACCATCACAGCCTCACCATTGATTGGGACCTGGGAAGTCCAGGCCCAGGTGACTCCAGGCTGTCCTATAATCCCTTTCCTTTTGTGTTACAGGGCTTCATTAAGCAGCCAGAGCAAAAATAAATCCTGTGGGCGTTCCTTGCCAGCTCTATTTTTAAGCAAAATCAATTAAGTAATTATCTGAGTCCAACTCAGTGTGCTAAATAAAACCTGCTACCACTGAGTATCATCAGCCCAGGGATCTGGGGCCTCTGGGCTTGGCAGGAGTAAGGTGTCTTGGGATCAGGTACACAACTGAGCAATCACAGTTTTCCAACTTTATATCCCATCACTTCCCAACATGGCTTGACTCCTGGCTCCCTACCACCACCAACCACACCCTGACCCAGGATGACTTGCTTGTTAATGTTTTCATGCCATCCACGACTGTCTCTAGATCTGGACTGTTCTCTTCTGGCCTCTGTCATAGTCCACACCCACAATCTCCTTCCAAGTCAAAATCTAATTCACCTCACCTACAAAACCTTAACTATCTTATACCTGTCATTTTGTTTTGGTTTTAGAATTGTTCTCTACATTTGTGTGGGTGTGCCAAGTCACTACAAGAGGGTTAAGACCAAAACAGGAGCCTCTAATTGTGCCTGGCCTTCATGGGGCTTAGCGTAGTGCTGGGCATATAGTTGAGGTTCAGTGAATATCCCTGAATTAAGGGATCTGGCCATCTTGTACAGCTTTTCAGTTCCTACAGAACTGATGAGGTTGGCCCAAGAAAATGGTTGGGTTCTCTGATGAGTCTAATCATTCAGGTAAGCACATATGAGGCACCTACTGCTCATACATTTGGTAGCCATTTATTGAACACCAACTGTGTGCCAGGAACTCTACTCAATGTCAGAACTGCAAAGATTGAACAAGATATGGTCATTGTGTTCTGAGTTCACCATTTCATTGTAAAAGACGAACATTCTTAAAAAATACAATAGCACCAAGACAGGTGTTTATAAATTGCTATAAGAACGCATGGCAACACCAGGTCCAAGTACCTGATGAGACTGGATGAGGCTTTACAGAGTTCATATTTATGCTAAGTTTTGAAGGATGAGTAAGAGTTCACCAAGGAGGGAAAAAGGAAGGCAGAGGGAACAGCCTTTATTTAACAAATATTTAGTGGGACTTAACATGTACCACTCTATAAATAAACACCTGGGCTAGGAAAACTTTTGCTAAGGAATGATCAGGTGTTCAAAAATGGGCTTTGCCAGCAGATCTCAATCAGGGTCAGTACTGCTTCCTCTCTGAGAGCATTTAGAAATGTCCAAGGGTGTTTTGGGTCATCCCAGCAGTTTGGTGTGCTATTAGCATTTAGTGTCTCAGGGTCAGAGATGCTAAGTGTCCTGTAGGGAGTGAGGCAGTCCCTGAATGAATTATCAAAGGTATGGGGGCATGAAAGGGTAGCATGGGTACCTGGATTGGCAAGACATGACTGGAGAAGTAGGCAGGGCCAGGTCAGAAAGGATCTAGAATGCCACGAGGGAGGAGGAATGGTGGAACAAAGGCATAGATGTGGACGTCATCTCGATGTGTGAAGGGCCTCGTACAAAGGGGGATATCAGGAGATTAGAGCAGGGGAGAGAGATGGGCTCCTAAGGAGGCCTTCCATCAGCCCTGCAGTGTGAGGCAGTCTCCGTGAGCCAGGCACTGCTCTAAGCTGTACAGCTTTGAGCCACAGTAGAATGTGGGTATGCTGTGACATCCAGTGAAGGGTGAACTTTTTTATATGGCTTAATGTGTTCTTGGAGGATTTGGTTCTGGTAACTGCATGTAACGTTATTCTCCATCTGCTCTTTCCTGTCTCTTTGTTCTTCCATACCTTCGGCTGCCTGTCTCCTCTACTCACTCCTTTCCCTTTCTGCACCCCTCCTCTGGCTTCCCTCCTGCTTCTAAATGAGCCCCTATTTGTCCTTTCCCTGCCTGTTCACAGAAAATGATGAAGAAAGAAGCTCTTCTCCTCATTCCCAACGTCTTGAAGGTTTTCTTAGAAAATGGGCAAATCAAGTCATTCACATTTGATGGCCGGACCACTGTCAAGGTACATACAGAGTCTCCCCTCTGGCAGCAGCCTTGCCCTCTCTGGAGCACATACAGCTGAGCTCCTTGGAGTCTACACAGAGCTGCTTGCTGCTGGAGCAATTGTGGCCTTTGAGCTCCTGCTGCTGTGAGCCCCAGGCTGCAAAAAAATACCCAGTCTTCAAATGAGGGTGGTAGGGGGAATCTGTGCCCAACTGTGTGCTAGTGATTGTAAAAGTGGTGTGTGCAGACACGTGCATACGCATGCACATGCACCCACATCTGCTTGTGAACTGCCTTGTGTCCATGTTCCTTCTTCCAGACTTTTAGGTCCTAAGGAGTGTGAAGATCATTAAACCATTTATAAGGCAAAAGTGATTTATATTGCTATAATAACACCTATACAAGTTTACTCACAGAAATCAACAAACACAGTATCTTGGGAGATTAGCTTAGCCATGCCTTGCTTTTAAATAACAGCTAGATCTTAAGCACTGAACCAAGATTTGAAACGTTCAGCAACAGTCCCGTTGGCTGTGCCTTTCACAGGAAGAGCAATTACTGAGCTGTGATTCTTAACTGCTCAGCCAGGTGTCTACAGGTTGTGATCCTGAGGAGGCAATGATACCATTAACCCCCAAGTTCATTTCTGCTCTGGGACCAAACTATCCACTCCTACTCGTGCCTTCTTCAGAAGGACTGTTGCCATGCAATCAATGCTGCTGACTGCTTGGCAGCTACAGCACCTGCCCAGTAAACCCACGTTGGCCCACAGGTGCACCCATGCTGAGGTACCCATACTGGGGCCCAAACAACTCTATAAATAAAGAAACCCCTGGGCCAGGAAACTTGCCCTAAGAACAATTATCAGGTGTTCAGAATTGGCTTTGCCAATGGTTCTTAGCCAGGGTGGGCACTGCCCCCTCCCACATGGCTTTTGGGAATATCTGATGGTATTTTGGGTCATCCCAACCATTTGGCATGCTGCTGACATTTAGCTCTTGGCCAGAGATATTATGTGTCTGCAGGGAGTGGGATAGTCCCTGAATGATGAAGAATCATCCTTTCCAAAGTGCTAGTAGCACTCAATGTGCAAAACACTGGAACTAACACATTTTGATTGAACTGAAAGTTTCTTTGGAAGGTGTAGCCCTGGGTGGGTCCCCCAGGAGACCTAGGACCAAAATACACTCCTTAGGGTGCCCTGGGATGGTCTCTTGGCTGTTGACGGTCTCAGTCTGTGGGAGGAGCATTAAAATGGAACTGGGCCACCCAGAGGTATCCTAATGCCCCTCTTCCCAATGTAGACCTCTCTCTGTCAGAACCTGCCTGGCATCAGTATGTCCATTGTAGATCTGTCTCTGGAGCATTTTCTCTCTTCCCCCTCGGAGGCTTTTTTCTCCAAGTGTTCTCCCACCTCAGTGTCACTTCCTCTATTGCTTCTAGATAGCCCCAGCCTTCCAGGGTAGCAGTGTCTCTGTCCTGTGGCACCCTGACTTCAGAGAGGGTACACTGGCTTTTATTCATTGGAACTTGGACAGGCTGCCAAGCCACTTGTCCCAGAGAGATACCTGGGTGAATTGACAGGCTGGCACAAGGGCTGTTACACTTGTAACACCAGTTGGCAATCACCACCTTGGCTGTCCACAATCTCAGTGCAGCTGAACTGCAAAGAAAACCTCATTTGTCCCTGCCAGAACTCCAGCAACACTAGCGCCTCTGTGACTACTTGAATAATACAAAGCAATACTTCCAAGTACTCAGCAGTTTCCAGCCTAACATTTCAATGGCTAAGCTCCTTTTAATGTTCACTGAGGGGCTTGTTGGGCAACCCTGGCCGTAAGGGCACTTCGTGTTCCCAAGCCTTCTTCCTGGCCTTTGGAGAATGAGCAATGCTGTGTCCAAGAACACATGCAGGGGAGCCTCATATATGCCGAAGTCACAGCAAATAGATGGCAGAAGTCTCAAAACTGACATCTGGGCAGCTCCCAAGAATATGTTTCCAGACACCCTAATATTAAAAGTAGGGCAGCAGAGCAGATGGAGCCCAGAAGTAGTGAGCTTTATGACTGTACACAAGACACGTGACATAGTTCCTCTGCATGGACACATTTTTCAAGTTGCTAAATTGATCATCTCTAAAAGACAGCTTTGATTAAAAAAAATGAACATTTTGCCAGTAACTCAAGTCATTCGATTTAGAGTATGAATCCAGAAATAGTCTACTTTTAATCATGTAATTGTGGCTTTTGCTTTTGTTAATCTAAGACAAGAGCTGACAGACAAACCACAGTGCACACTCTGACTTAGGGGAGAAGGTGAGGGAAGAGCCAGTATACTGTAGGACTGGCCAGGCCAAGTTCAGAAACACTGCCCTCTACCCCCTGCCCCTGTGGTGTTCTCCAGGGCCCAGGCCTTTAAACAGCACTCACAGGTCACTGTCCTCATCCTGAAGTACAGTGTGTGGGCCACCCTGAAGGCCGGTATCTCTGTCTGGCCCACGTTCCCAGTCTCAGCCTCTCCCTTGTCTTTCTTGGTGTTCTGTCTCCGTCTCCCATCTTTGGTGCTTAGTGTAGCTGAGAGCTGGAACGGATCTCCCTCTGAAGGCCCTTTCTCTTCCCCAGGATGTTATGGTGACGTTACAGGACCGTCTTTCCCTGAGGTACATTGAGCACTTTGCTCTTGTCCTTGAGTATGCTGGACCAGAGCAGAACCACAAGTTCCTGCTTCTCCAAGACAAGCAGCCCCTGGCTTATGTAAGTAACTCCTTTGCCCTGGCTTGAGAGTCTTGTGTGTGGCCTCTGCTAGAGAAGTGGACTCCAGGTACTTTCTCTCCAGAAAATTCATAATGATATGCTCAGCCAGCTCCCACAAGTCATAGTTCTCAGTTGGGGTCTGTGCTGCCCACCTCTACAGGGCTTTTGGCAATGTCCCTTGTGACCTAAAAAGGGCACGAAGATTGTTAGTCTTGACCTCTAGTGGGAAAAGTGTGGGGTGTGATTCACTGTGTGCCTCCTGGGATGCTGAGCTGAAGAGCAGTGTCAGCTCTCCTGTGTCCCAGAAGCCCTGCCTACTAGACTTTTCTGCCTCTGAGAGGAAACTCAGGCTTCAGATGAAGGCTGTAATATGGAAGGGTCAGGAAGTGGAGTCTTGTGAGACCAGTGAGGCTAGGACAAGTGTGGGCTGGGAATGGGCTGAGTGGAGCCAAAAATGGGCAGCGTGTCACCCATATCAACTTCCGAGATAGAATAGAAGACAGTGTCCCTTTGCCATTTGTTAAAAGTCTGGGGGAATCCAAGAATCCTGGACAGTATTTCACCAACAGTGAAACACCAGGAAGAGCCAGAGAGGCAACCATGGCCAAGCAGTATTCCCAGAGAGGGAAGGTAGGAGTTGGAGAGGGATGGATGGAAAGAAATGCCTACATGGAAGTGAAATAAAAACCAAAATGAGACACAAAAAAATGAAAGGATTTTAGAAAGAAAAATTCTTCAGGCTTAGCTCTCAGCCAAATGCAATCCGGAGATTCAAGGTTTCCACCTCTGAAGGGAGGCTTGTGGGTGTCCTCCTTGGAGGAAGGCCTAAGTTCCCCCAAGAGGCCTTTTGAATCCAATTGGTCTCATGTTCCAAATGGATTTTAAACTTTATTACAAAAAAACTCAAACGTGCATAAAAGTGTAAGGAATTGTATAATGAATCCTCACTACCCATGCCAACTTTATTAGTTACTGATACATGGCCAACTTGTTTCATCTATTCCTCCAAATGGGAGTATAAATCTTTGATCGGCTTCTTATCGACAGTGTATTCTGCTTGAGGCTGAGCCCCTCTGCAAGGTAAAGTCATTAGCCCCACAACAAGAAACGAGTCAGAGGAGTTCCCAGGAGCCCTCTCTTTCTACCTAGTATCATGGGCCTTAGACCCAGTCATTGATAAAGGCCATGTCCTAGCTAAGTGATTCAAAAATTCTAGTCACTTCGGGTCAGAAAGGTGTGAAAGACCTAGCTCCTCATCACTTTCCTCTAAGGGTGATTGGAACTGGCCAGGCAAGAGACAAAGTGGTAAACTGCACCCTAGCTCTGGGCAAGCCCCACCTTGAGGAGCCACTGAGGTGGCTCCCACCACCATAGCCATTGGTTCCCAGATTTCTTTTCCTCTCGCTTCTCATCCCCGGGATTCAGGTGGTGCAGCGGACACACTATCAAGGAATGAAATGCCTCTTCCGAATAAGCTTCTTTCCCAAAGACCCTGTGGAGCTGCTGCGTCGAGATCCTGCTGCTTTTGAGTACCTGTACATCCAGGTAGAGTCTGATTGGGGACACACAGACAGACAGACCAATGGACAAACAAGCAGGCAGGCTGTTCTGCCATCACAATGAAGTCACTATGTAAGTTTTTCCAACCTCCAGGTAGCTCTGAAGGCCCTTTCCTTTTGTGCTACCATTGTAGTCCATGGCCAAGTTAGTCGGCCTGGTGACCTGAGCTGCCTGTGGCTCTGAGTCCTTCCTCTTTGTCTAGATAGATCTCATCAGTTTTCAGAAGCAAGCAACACCAATAACTCTGGCACCATCACAGGATCCCAAGGTTTAACAAGCTCATTTGGGTAACGGCGGTCCCAACTACTGATGCCTTGTTTCAGGAAGAAGATGATCCCTAATTCAGTTCATCCAGAAACATTTGCTAAGCACCTTGGGCCAGGCCTGCACAAGGTGCTGGCCATCTAGGTGAACAAAATCTGTCCCAGCTCGCTAGAGCTCATAGACATATGTACACACATAAATATAAGGCAGTGTGACAGGCACTGTGATGATGGCAGGGGGCAATGTTAGTAGGGGCACCCAGGAAGTAGTTTTCCAACTCTCCATGGGAAGGGGATAGTGAAGGCTTCACAGAGGAAGTGATATGTGCATGCTCTTAACCTTGAAAGATGAGCTAATGTCTGCTGTGTGCAGAGATGGAGGGGAGGAAGCACTTTCTATACAAAAGGACTTGTTTCTACAAAGTCTTGGTGGCATGAAACACTACAGTATGATGAGAGAACTGCGGGTAATTTATGATGGTGGGAGTGCAAGATGTCAAATAAGGAACAATAGGAAATGAAACAGGAGAGACAGGAAACAGGTGGTGAAGGACTTGCTTGACAGGTCATGGCTAGCATAGGCTTTAAAATGATTTAGGCCAGGGAGTGGTTCTCAAAGTGTGTCCCTGGACCAGCAGCAGCAGCATCAAGCCAGAACTTAACAAAGCAAACTCTTGAGCCCCAGCCTAGTCCTACTAGAAACTCCAGAGGTGGGGCCCAGCAATCTGTGTTTTAATAAGCCCTCTAGGGGATTCTGATGCCCGATGGAGTTTGAGAACCACCGTGTTAGGGCAGTGGAGTCTTAACCCTAGCCACATATTAGAATTATCTGGGAAGCTTTGAGAAAAACTATTCTGTACCACTGAAGACCAAACCAATCTAAATCTATGGGGATGAGGTCCAAACATTGCTTTTTCTAAATCACACAGGTGATTCAAACACGTACAGCCAAGATAAAGAAATCCTGCTGTAGGGTTGGGGCACACAAATGTAGAAAGGAGAATAGCCTGGTCAGATGAGTGATTTTGGAAGATCTCACAGTGCCCAGGAAGCACAGCAGCCATGGAGCTATTGCAGTTGTCCAGAGGAGAGGTGACAGAACCAGGGCAGTGGTGGATGGGGAGGGGCGATTCCAGAAATTTCAAAGGTAGAACCAATGGGTTTTGAGTCAGTGAGTATGTGGTAGACGTGGTATCGTTCCCTGAGTTAAGGAATAAAGGTGGTGGAAGGGGTTGGAAGAAAAGATGAGATTATTTGGGGCTATGTTGAATTTTAGGTGCTTGATGAGAGGAAAAAAAAACCTGAATTCATTTCTGATGATGTTTCTGATGGTAACACCTGGGGAGGTGCTATGAGACATGGTGGCTGTCCTCTGCCCCTTCTGACAACCTAAAATGTTAGGAACATTTCTCAAACAACCTCAGGTTCCTTTACCAGCGCTCAAGGGGGCACTGAGCTGTGGTTCCTCTATGAATTTCTTTGAATTGTATAAATTTAGTTCTCATTTTGTTTGCCCTTAATTTCTTCATTCAAGCTTCCAGGGATCATTTTGGTTCAAATATTTTGGGATTTGGCGATAAGACCATGTCCACGCTCTCTCTTCCCTTCATGATGTTATGGACTTCAGCTGTATTCTTTCTTTTTTATATTGAACAGCTCTTTCAAGGTCTAATTGACATGTAACAAACTGTACATATTTAAATACCGTTTTTATTTAATAAGTTTTGACATGTTTATACATGACACATTTAATAAGTTTTGACATGTTTATACCCGTGAAACCATCATCACAAACAAGACATCAAACATATCTAATGCCCACAAAAGTTTCCTCAGGCTCCTTTGTAATTCATCCCCCAAATCCCCAGGCAACCACTGACCTGCTTTCTGTCACTATAGAAACTATAGTTTGCCTTTTCCAGAGATTTATATAAATGAAGTCATACAGTCTGTACATTTATTTTAGTCCAGTGTCTTTCACTCAGCATAATGATTTTGAGGTCCATCCATGTTGTTGTGTGTATCAGTAGTTAATTCCTTTTTATCATTGAATGGTATTCCATGGTATAGATATGCCAAAACTTTATCAGTCCAACTGCTGGACATCTGGATTATTTCCAGGTTTTGGCTACTACAAATAAAGCTTCTATGAACATTCATGTACAAGTCTTTGTGTGACATGTGCTTTCTTTTCTCGGGTAAATACCTAACAATGAAATGGTTTGATCATATGGTAAATCTTTAATTTTTTAAAGAAACCCCAATACTATTTTCCAAAGTGGCTGTACCATTTTACATTCCCACCAGCCAGTGGTTGAGAGTTCCAGTTTCTCCATATTCTTATCAGCACTTGGTATTTGTCAGTATTGGTTTTTTTTGTCATTTTAATAGTGTGTCATGGTATCTTACTGTGTTTTTCATTTGCATTTCCCAGTGCCTAATGATGTTAAAATTTTTTCATGTGCTTGTTTGCCAACATGCCTCTTTTTCAGTGAAGTATCTTTTCAAATTTTCTGCCTACTTTTTAATTGTGTTGGTTGTTTTCTTACTGAGTTTTGAGAGTTCTTTATATATCCTGGAAACGAGTTATTGGTTGTATATGTTATTTGCAGTTATTTCTCCAAGTCTGTAGCTTGTCTTTTCAGTCTCCAAACAGTATCTTTCACAGAGAAAAAGTTTGAATTTTGATTAAGTCCAGTTTGTCAGTTTGTTCTTTTATGAATTCTACTTGTGGTGTCATATCTAAGAAATATTTGCCTAACCCAAGGTCACAAAGATTTTCTCCAATTTGTTCCTAGAAGTCTATCATTTTAGGCTTTATATTGAGGTCTTTGATCCATTTTGAGTTAATTTTTATATGAGATACAAGGTAGTGGTCAAAGTTGTTGTTGTTTTTGCATATGAATATCCAGTTGTCCCAGCACTATTTATTGAAAAGACTGTCCTTTCTCCCTGAATTGCCTTTGCACCTTTGTCAAAAATCAGTTGTCCATGTATATATATATATGGGCCTATTTTCAAACTTCTGTTCTATTACACAGATCTACCTTTATGCCAACATCACACTCTTTTGATTACTATAGCTATAATAAGTTAAGATCAAGTAGTGTTTGTCCTCCAGCTTTGTTTCTCAAAGTTGTTTGGCCATTCTAGGCCCTTAGCATTTCCATGTGAATTTTAAAATTAGCTTGTCAATTTCTACCAAAAACCTCCTGTGATTATGATTGAGATTGTGTTGAATCTATAGATTGATTTGGGGATAATTGACAACTTAATAATATTGAGTCTTCCAATCCATGAACACAGTATGTTTCTACATTTATTTAGGTCTTTTAAATTTTTTCTCAGCAGTGTTTTCTAGTTTTCAGTGTATAGGTCTTTCACCTATTTTGAGAGATTTATTCTTAATTATTTCATATTTTCTGATGCTATTAAGTGGTTTTGATTTTTAATCTCAATTTCCAATTGTTTGTTAAAAGCATTTAGAAATATAGTTGGGTTTTGTATGTTGACATATCTTGTAAACTCACTAACTCATTAGTTCTAGTAGGTTTTTTTTTTATTCCATTGGATTTTCTACATATATGATCATTGATGAATCATTCCTTTTCCACTGTCTCGTATGCTGTAGTGATATCACCATGGCTCCCTAGTTCCCTAGTTCATCCTGGTTCCACTGCAACAAAATGGGCAACTGGTCTAACCAAGACTGAATCATCGATAGCTTGGACTCTGTCCCTCAGGGTTTGGGGCCTGTCATACCCTTGGACAGTAGTTCCTAAAGGGACCCCCTTTAGGATGGCATCAGGAAGACTAACTCATCACTGCTTTTGACCTTCAGACCCCAAGGAAAAGTATATCTGTCCCATCCTTGCAAACCATCTGTCACCCTGAGCTTCTGGGTCAGAGCCCTATGGAGAGCCCCTCTCAATATCTCTCTTCCTTCATTCCCATCTGAGCTAGTAGAAGAGACCTGTATGGCTGGGGGGTGACGATAGGCCCCAAGAAAAAGTGGGATGGCCTTCTGTAACAGGAGGAAACAAAGAGGGCAGTGCCATGTCTCACTTTTACAGCAGCCTAGGTGCCCCACCCACCCGTGTCTTGTCATCGCAGGCACCTGCCCCGAAGAAGAACACTGCCAGGATCTGAGAGAAGTGAATAGTGTCTCTGAGACCTGAGGGTCCTCTGCTGCCTCTTCCCCAAGGGCAGAACCTTCCTCCTTTCCCTTGATCTAGGATGTCTTAATGACACTATGGTTCTTTTCTGGGACATAAAGGAGTAGACCAGGGGGTGGGGAGGGAATATTTCCTTTAACTGACACTTTTGGACTGTCCTCCCTTGCAGAGCCGGAACGATGTTATCAGAGAACGCTTTGGAATGGACCCCAAGCCAGAGATGCTTTTGGGCCTTGCTGCCCTTCACATCTATATCACTGTCTCAGCCACTCGACCTAGTCAGAAGATCTCACTCAAGAATGTGGAGTAAGTTGTGTGGTGGGGCCCTTCGGGAAGAAGGTGCAATGGTTGAGCTATGCTCTGCTATTCAGGAATTCAAGGCCTGGGCTGGGAGTGAGAACTGGAGTCCCTCACACCTAGACCATGGTGCCCTTGAGCCACAGCTTCTACTAGGGAGCTGTGCCCTATGTTATTCCCTTGCCCCCATCCCTCTTTCTTTCTCTCCCAGGCTCTAGTCCGCCATCTCTACCTCTTGCATGGAGGTCATTCCTGTCTTAACATCATCCTTTCTCTGGCCTGTTTTGCCTCTCTCACTGATTTCCTACTTTTCTTCTGCTTTTAGGAAGGAGTGGGGCCTGGAGCCCTTTCTTCCCCCCTCCCTCCTGCAGGGCATCAAGGAGAAGAATCTCCGGAAATCTCTCTCTCAGCAACTGAAGGCCCACCAAACACACCCTTCCAGCAGCACGAAGGTACTAAGAGTAGGCCATTGGGCACCCCACTTGGGGGCTGGTGGCCCTGGGATGCTCCTGCATGGTGTCCCAACAAGGCTGGTCTCCTGAGGACCCTCCTCACTGTTTCTGACTTGGGTACACACCCAGCTTGGCCAGATATGGGGAATGAATGTGGAGAGGGTTTTGCCTCAAACTTGAGCCTCTCCCCAGAGACAGTTCAGTGGCAAGTCGCTGAGAGAGCCCAGGGTCCTCAAAGCAGAGGAGCCAGGATGTAGGAGGGAAAAACTCTCAGTTCGTTTCACCCTTTTAGTCAGTGCTGATTGAGCCACCTGCTGTGTGGCCAGCACTGCTCCCTGGGGAGGCACATGTTTTCCCTGGGGAGCGACTGCTCTGTCCCTCAGTAGCTTTCTAATTCATCAGTCCTTGGATAGGGAATTTTGGGAGATAAAGTCCAGCCCTGTGGGACAAGTCCTGGCCTGGGTTGTATGTCGGGGGTGCAGGTTACTGTCGTGCTGCCCTGCTCAGGCTCAGGTGCCCTCTGAGGGATGACCACTCCATGGCGTCCCAGCCCTCAGGCCCTTCTCAGGCTTGTAAGGACTCAGTCTGCTGGCACTTTGGACCCAGGAGGCAGGAGAGTGGTGAGAGGCCCAGCAATCCACCTGCAGAGGTAGACACAGGACTTGGTTGACCCCATATATTCCGCCCATTCCAGATTCCTTGCCTTACCAACTAGCTTTTCTTTTAAGATGCAAATTTTCCCAGAGAGTTAAGCCATTCCTACCTTGCTGTGCATATTTAATCAGACTGTTTTCTTCCCAATGGAGAGCATCAATGCTCCCAACCATCTCCTCAGCAAACATATTTTTTGAGGCTCTCAGCCCTCGAGCTGGAGACACAAAGATGAGGAAGACCTGGTGTCAACCCTCAAGCAGGGGGCAAGCTAGTGGGGAAACTCAGCAGTCAGTCACAACATGTGCTACTGGCGTGGATGCTCTGAAAGCATGGAGGAGGAGCCCCCAGTGCAGCCTTAGGGAGGTGAAAAAGGCCAGGAATTGGTGCCTTTCATGCAAGAGCTGGGTCTTGACAGATAGGAAGGAGTTTGTCCAAATGAGTTGGGGGAGGTGCAGGAGGAAGACGTTCCCAGGCAGGAAGATTCATCGGTACAAAGGCCCAGGGGTCTGAGGGAACACTGTGCATGGGAACAAATGCAAATAGTTCAGCATAAGCACATGCAGAGAGGGCAACGGGGTGAGGGCAAGAGAAAAGGCTGGAGAGGTTGACAGGAGCCAGTTCATGGAACACCTTGTGTACCATGGTAAGGGGCTCTACTCACCCTGCAGATATCCTGAGCCATTGAGGGGTTTAAGCAGGTAACTGATGTGATTAACCTTATGTTTTAGGATGCTTCCTCTAATAGCAATGTGGAGGGGTGGAGGGAAAGGAGTGTCGGTACTGACAGTAATCTGGCTGCTGTCCTTAGACAGCTGAGGTTACATCAAGGCAGTGACTGCAGGGCTAGAGAAGGAGGAATGGATAGGCTGGAGAGGAAATTAGAAGGTAGAATCAAGATGATTTGGTAACTGGTGGCCCTTAGGTGAGAGAATGAGGGAGGAGTCCTGTGTGATTCAACAGGCTTCTGACTCAAACCCAGGGGATGCTGGTACCGCTGATGGAGACTTTTCTATGAGGGAATGCCAGAGGAAGAGCAGGCTTGGGACTTAGAGCTGCTCAAGATTAAAAGTATTGAGTGGGACTCCAGGCTAGGGATGGCCAGTACTAGGTGGCCATAGGTGGGTCTCAGAAAGATATAATATAGATGAGGTAGGGTGTCAGAGTTGGGGAAAGGGTCTCTGTACATGTGCAGTGTGGCTTGCTGAGAACAGGGGTTTGCTTTTCCTGTGTGACTCTAGCTTCTCATATTTCTGGGTGGATTGTTTCCACAGGGCTCTGCAATTCAGGCAAAGCTCCAGTATCTTCGAATTCTGAATGAACTTCCGACCTTCACAGGCGTTTTGTTCAACACTGTGGGCCTGGTCAGTGAGGGCAGTGGTGGGGAGGGAGCCCTTTGGGTGCACTTGTCCTGGGGTGGAGGACAGGCAGGCGGGACCCCATTAGGACTTTAGGGTAGCATTCTCTGTTAGCAAAGGCCTTCATAATTTCCTCTTTCTCCTCCTCCTCCCTCTCGCCTGCTTGATGCTCTGGTCCCACCTCTGGTAGAGTGCTGCAGGAGGAAGCACACTTGTTTCCAGTATCCCTCCATGACCCTTTTGCGTCCCCTTTCTTCGATTTCAGGGGTCATGAAACTTTTTCCGTAAAGGGCCAGAGAATAACTATTTCAGGCTTTGTAGGTGGACCATGCAGGTCTCTGTCACAACCATTCAGCGCTGCCATTGCAGCACAAAAGCAGCTGTAGACAATGTATAAACACGAGTGTTACTATGTTCCAATATCTCTTTATTGACACTGAAATTTGAATTTCATGTGACTTTCACATGTCATGAAATATGGTGCTTTTGAATTTTTCCCAACCATTTAAAAATGTAAAAACCATTCTTAGTTCATGGGCTGAACAAAAACTGGTGGCGGACCAGATTTGGCCCATGGGTCAGAGTTTGCCAACCCCTGCTCTGTTTCATTGCCCTTCCTGAGTCTGCACACTTCCCGCTGCCCACCCAGGGCCTTCACTGTGACACCCTTCTTGGGTGTTGGTCCCCCTGAGACTGTTCCCCGAGCTAGTTTACCCTAGTGAGCTATAGTGAAAGGAAATTCAAATCATTTTGCTGACTGGATCCAGGTGCTTGGCATGCTCTGGGGAACATGCTGTCATGCTTGTGGGACACACTGATGGAAAGCTGCCTATCAAAGTATCTACAGCAGATGGAAGAGGTTTCTTGGGGTGCTGCTATTGCCAGGGAATGGGCTGCCAGAGAGCTCAGGCTTGATGGCACAGAGGAGCCTATCCAGAACACTTAAGGGAATCCAGCCTATCAGGCGCAAGGGCAACCATTTACATACTGGTATTTGAGGATCACCAAAAGCCCACTGCTCTCTCCCTCCACCCTGCACACCCCCCTGCCAGTGCTGAAATTCCTATAGGCCATTCTTCCGGTTTAAGACTACTATAGTGCCTATGAAAGGGCAAATATCTTCGTAGGGAGGGAGACAACACCCTCCCACGCACCTGCACCATTAAGTGCCCAATCATCTCCTAACACCTCAGGCACCTACTTTGTCAGTTTAACGTTTGGCACTGGGTGAGAAGTGTAACTTTGATTGGCTTTGGTGGGGGCTGCTAAACCAAGCCCAGGATGCCACCTCTTCGGGCAGAGCCGTGGGTGGGGGCCCTGAGCAGCCTGTGGCAACAAATGAAAATTCTCTGTGGCTTAGGAAGAGAGTGCCACAAAGACACCAAATCAGACCTCACCTACTTCACGATTTTGCTAGAACCAGCCCTGCTGCTGCCTGCCTCACTCAAACTGCTGCGGAGGCTAGGGTAGCCATTCAGCCAGATGACCCGGAGCCCTGCCCTGGGAACAGGGGTGTCCCTGATCATTTTCCCCTCAAGGCTGCCCTCCTGCTGTGGCACTGAGCCCCAAATATTTAACTGGCCCAATGCCCGTTTTCTGTTTGTTCTTGCCTCCTTTCTCCACCCCCTCTGCTCTTTTTTTCTGTGAATATTGCCCACCATGCTTGGTCACCAGGATGAGAAGCAGTCAGCCACCACTCTCCTGGTGGGACCCCGTCACGGCATCAGCCATGTTATTGACCTCAAAACCAACCTCACCACTGTGCTGTCCGAGTTCAGCAAGATCAGCAAGATCCAGCTGTTCCGGGAGAACCAGGGCGTGGCCCGGGTGGAGACCAGCATCATGGATGCCAAGGTAAGCCTGGATTTGACAGGCTGCATCTCTCCAGGGACAAGCCTTAGCAACAGAGGAAGTAAACTTGAGAAAGCATTTGAGCCTATTACATGAGGTTCAGTGATTCTGAAGTGGTTCAGACTCTGGGCCCCTTTGCTCATCTTTCTTCCCTTCTCAGCCCTGTGGGACAAGCTGACTTGACCACCTATTAAGGTCAGTCCATGCTGGAGAGGCTAGGAAGTGTCAGATCAACTGTCAATGGGTCCCTCAGCAGATGGCAAGGGAATTGGAGAACTTGGAGCTACCCCCAAGGCCACGGCTTCCCAGTCTTTCTCATGTCATGACATACAGAAGATTACATTCCTGTAAACACTGGGGCTGCCCCAGAGGCCCAGGGCTGTGTGCATACCAGTCAGAGAGCCCTGCCATAGGCACACGCTCTTGGACTGCCAAAGGAGGAGGTATCTGAGGATGTGGACAGAACCAAGAGCCGGTAGAGCCTTGTCCCCATTTCACCTCCCAGAGTCCAGCTCTTCCAGAACCTTAGAATCTTTCACATAAACCAGATCCCTCAGACTGGCAAGCAGCTATCATCTGTGCAGAAACTGGCAGCTGTGGTTTGAACACCTAGTGACCAGTGGGAGGTCGGAGGCAGGCCTGCCTGCCAGCTGACGGAAATGGTTAGGAGGGGTGCAACTTTCCTTTCTAATTAAGAGATGGAGTGATGCTGTTTCTAAAAGAGCAAAGTATTCATTTTTCTCTTTGTGAAACCCAGAAAGCTTTAATATGTTAATTTTTCCACCTGTGAGTCACAGGATTCCCACTGGTTTAGAAACCTTCCTGGAGCTGATATCTAATTGACTTGTGGCCACTTCCTCAACGAATGATTGCTGCCCTCGGCCTCTGGGGCAGCCCCAGTGTTTACAGGAATGTAATCTTCTGTATGTCATGACATGAGAAAGACTGGGAAGCCATGGCCTTGGGGTAGCTCCAAGTTCTCCAATTCCCTTGCCATCTGCTGAGGGACCCACTGACAGTTGATCTGACACTTCCTAGCCTCTCCAGCATGGACTGACCTTAATAGGTGGTCAAGTCAGCTTGTCCCACAGGGCTGAGAAGGGAAGAAAGATGAGTCGGGGAGTTGGGCAAAGTTGTTGGGCAAAAAGCCAAAAGGACAGGTAGGGAAGCGGGAGGAAAGACAAGATATGCAGGGTAGATGTGGCTTCCTGAGAAATAAAACAAGGTTTAAAACAGAGGAACAGCTTTCTAGCTGTCTCCTTCTATGTTCTACAAGTGATTCTCCATTGGCTGCATAATAGAATTTTCTTGAGAGCTTTAAAAAAATACAGATACCTGGGTTGCAATTTAGCCTGGGTAGCAGGATTTATTTATTCCTCAGTTCCCCAAGTGATGCTGTAGTACAGCCAGGTTTGAGAACTACTGACCTCTGGGTCCAGAGCACTAGGAGGAACCAGGGTCAGTGGGTGCTGCAATCTAGCAGCAATGTAGCCACAGTTACGGGCATGAATAATGGCCTGGAGGGGCCACACTCTTATTGGAGAGACTAGGCTCACAAAGACACATGACCTACCTTCGTAACACATCAGAATATGTATGGAGCTCTGGAATCAGACAGATCAGATTCAAATCTAGTTCTATCATTTCCTAGCTATTTGATCTTGAAAAATTGTCTTACTCTCTCTGAATACTGAGTTCCTCAACTGCAAATGGATTGCCTGTCTCAAAAAGTTGTCATTCAGAATTAAATAAGAAAATGTAGATAAAATGTGTTAGGACACTGCCTGACACAGAGTAAGTACTCAGCAATGAGACCTGGTATTTTTTCAAAAGCAAAACAGCAATGAAGAAAAGTTAATATGAAGTAGATGTGTTAGATAAGTATGATATGGAACATGGAGCAAAAGAACAGGAAGGGGTTAACCAGAACTGGCTTCCTACCAGAGAGTGTTTTAGGCTGGCTCTTGAAGTGATAGGCTGGGTCAGCAGAGAGAAGTGGGATGTGTTCACAGGCAGAGGGCAAGCACTGAAATAAGCCAGCCATATGTGCAGGTCAGTAAGCACAGTTAGCTTGGCGAGAGAGAAGAATAACAAGAAAGGAGATGAGAGAGATTGGGGGTCAGCAGAACAAGCTGGTTAAAAGCTTCAAAGGCCAGTCCAAGGAATTTAGATTTAATGTTTTAGAATAGTGGGAATCCACTGTAGGTCCTAGAGCAGAGGAGTAGCAGAGTGAAAGCTGACTTGGACCAGTTTGCCAGATGGACAGAAGCAAGGCTAGTGTCAAGTCAGGGAGGCAAGGAGGAGATCAGGGTGCTAGTGTGGGAGTAGAGTGATAAGGGCAGGGCCTGGGCTGGAAGAACAGTGGTGGTAATGAAAAAGAAGAGTGAATGTGAAATATATAGAATCACTAAGAGTGTGTATGCATATTCCACACACACATGCCTCTCTTACACACACAATGCATGTGTCTTATTACACCTAACCCTTACTGCCTGCTGCCTGTATCCCGAGTGTACTGAAAACGAGGGAAGAGAGAGGCCAAGAGAAGGTTGGAGTGATGCAGTATGAGGACTCAACCCAACCTTGCTGGCCTTTAAGATGGAGGAAGGGGCCTTGAGCCAAAGAATGTGGGTGGCCACTAGAAGCTAGAAAAGACAAGGAATCCCATTCTCCCCTAGAGCCTCCAGAAGGTACACAGCCCTGTCTACCCTTGATTTTAGCCCAGTGAGATGCCTGTCAGACCTCTGACCTCTAGAAATACAAGAAAATAGATACAGACTGTTTAGGCCACTAAGTTTGTGTTCATTTGTTACAGAAGCAAAAGGAAAGTAACATACAGTGAGATTCCTTCAAGAAGGATGCTTTCATATGCTACATTAAAGATACGATTTGGCTGATAAACGTTCTGTTCACACCCAACTTTTGTTATAGAAAATCAAATGTGCTTGTAATGAGCGATGTCTGCTCTGTGCTTCACCTGGTACAAGTCAGTGCCCTGTGAAATGGACAGAGCAGTAGTTAGACCTTTCTGAGATAAATCAGAAGAGGAAGGATCATTGATATAGTAGTTGGAGAAAAACAGGAAGATTGAGTGAGAAAGAGAATCCAGGTTTCCATTTGACAGTCATTAATATGATCTTACTGTAACTGGGAAGCATGGTAAACCCAGTGGGAGATATAAAGATGAAGAAAAGTAGAAAATATGGCTCCCAGTCCTCAAGAAGCTTACTGTCTTGTGGAAGAGAAACAAGTGTGCTGATCCATGGCATGCCGAAGGAGGAGCCACAGAAGAGGCACCCAGAGTGTATTAGAGTACAGAGGGCAAGAGAAATTCTAGCAGGGGGATGAAGGAAGCTTCCTGGAGGCACTTTACATCAGCAATGTCTGTGCCTGCTGAGCAGTGCCTCTCCATGCCTGTGCACAACAGGAAGGATTTGGGAGGATGGGGTCTGGGAAGCCCGTACTGCAGAATGCCTTCCCTGGGCTTAGTGGGAGTCTACCCTTAGGGTCAGTGTAATGTAGAAGAACCAGCCGGGCATGTTTCTCCCAATTCTGTGTGCAGTGACATTACATTGATAATTTGAAAGCGGCCATAGTGGGAATATGTACACCAGGGAAATTGGCAAATGCTACAAATCAGGACTTCATAGGGACTGGTTGTTAAACGTTTACCAGCACACCACCATGTAGGGCACATTGAAGAAAGACTGAATTTCCTTACCAGGAAACATGGAAGTCAGAAATCAGGCTTGGTCCATTGCCCCCTAGATATGTCGCTCTGGTCTGGGAATATTCTGGAAGGGCCTGGTGAAACTAAGATTATTCTCTCAAAGCAGTAGTTCTCAACTCTGAGTGCACATTAGAATCATGTGTGGAGATTTAAAAACCACTGGCTGCCTGGGCCCTTGCTGTCAGACCATTTAAACCAGAATGTCTGGGGTGAGGGTGGAGCATGTAGGTTTTTAAAGCTTACCAGGTGATTCTAATGTGCATATGGCTTGAGAACCACGGCCTTAAGGGGGTACTCTGCCTTGCCTCCAAATTAGCCGTCTATGCCCAAATGGCTCTTCCCAGTGCTGTGGAGGTAAGAACCCAAATGTATGGCTCCTGGGACTCAAGGACCATCATTTTGTACCCTTTCCCCTCTGAACCCCTGGATTTCCATCCTTTCCCTGTTTTCAGGGATGCTTAAATGAACTGAGGCTACCCCAGGGCCAGTCTCCTCCCTAGTTGGCATCCTGAAGTGCTGCATGCCTTTGAGCTCCCAGAGCACCCCAGGAAGGAGATGGGGCTAGAGCATGTCAAATTAATCCCTTCTGTACCTTCTCATGTCTGGCCATGCCTCCAACCGTATTCCCCTGTTCTCCCTTACTGTTTGAAGATGGCCTAGGCATATTTTGTTCCAGCTTTTACCCAGCTTACTTGGTCTTAGTGGAGTGAACGTGAGCTAGTATGCAAATATCTTTCTCCAAGAGACAGCATCCTGGGACTGAGACACCGCTGGGCCATTACCATACCCCATTACCACAGAAGCACATGAGGGGGTGGTGGGGGTGCAGAAACCATTAAAGGAATGTCCCAAGGGATTTCTTTGTGGTCTAGTGTGTCTCCTATTCTCATGTTTGAGCTTTATTGCTCTAGTGCTTTCAGTAAAGACAAGCATTATGTTAGACATCATGATCATTAAGATTCTATTTAAAATAAAATGTTGTTTTTGAAGGTTTCTAAGAAAACCTGTTCAACCTCTTTGCTTGCCTCCGTTTGATTTGATTTTACCCCCTGCTGGCAAAAAGCACATCTGTGTTCCTTTTTCAAGCTGCTTTTGGCCCCTGCTGGGGCCCAGTTGGCTGTGTGGGCATGCAGAGGAGAAGCTCTTGATGTGCTTGCTGTGCTGAGCCAGCTGGGGATGCACTTGGCCCTCTCTGTGCACAGGGTTTTGCCTTCATGCTGTTTTATTACTGACATAAAGCTCTGTTTAGGGTAAGAAATAAGAAGGAAAACTGAAGTCAGACAGTTAAGTCAGTCAGTGAGCTAGGTTCTTCAGCCTCCAACCTGTACATTAGGCAGCTGACCAGCCAGCCAGACAGCTAACCTGTCAGGCTGTCAGGCTCTTCGGCATTCTGCCTACCCTGCGGCCAGCTTGTCAGCCAGAGCATCAGTGAGTCTGACTGCCCTGCAGCCAGCTAGTCCATCAGGCAGTCAGCCAGGCAGCCTTTACTTCGGTCAAATGGTCCCTCGTTCAATTTGTCAGCCAGTGAGTGCCATTTCATCATAGAAGCTCTCTCCAGGTTCTGGAATCAAATTAGTCACACATGTACACATTCACACCCACACACCAATCCAGGAGAGTCTATGTTCTGTTAGCTCTCTGTACTTTTCCTTCATAGTGGTTATCACACCTTGCAGTCCTATTCATTTGTGTGATTATTTCGTCTATGTCTTATATCTTGCTAGATTTCAAGCTCCGTGAGGGCAGGACCTGTGTTGGCCCTGTTCTGAGATGAATGGCTGTGTCTCAGTGGGTCATATCATCCATAAGCCATCTTGCCAGGGTGCAGCAGCTCTCTGGGTGAACAGAGTGGGGCACGGGAGCATTTCAGCTAGATGGAGCAGCACAGGTTAAGGTAGGAAGGAGTAAAAGAATGTGGCATCTCTAGCAAACTGTAAATGGTGTGTTGTTGCTGGAGCATAAGGTAAGAGATCGTGATGGGAGGCGGGCACAGACAGAGTTAGTGGGAGACATGTATGGAACTACAGGTTGGTTCCAGGTCCTAAAGGGCTTTGCATGTCATCAGAAGGCAATAGGATTTAGGCGATGAGCTAGTGAAGATTTTAAGTGAGTGGGAGTCTGTTTTAGAAAGATGCTCAGGTAGTAATATGTAGGTGAAGTGGAGTGGAGTGAGTAGAGACTGGAGGTGGGAGGCCAATCAGGAGGCTACTGGAGGTCCTGAGGTTAGTGTTTACCCACCTTTGCCATATCATGAAAAATGCCACATTGTGTATGGTGCATGGGAATAAACAAATGAGGCATCTTGTAGCCAGCAGCAATAGAACCCAGAGGCTGAGGGAATCAGGATCTCAGCACACTTGTTACCCAGTCACACTTTCCTCAAGAAGCTGTGGTCTTGGAGGAATACGCTGAGGATGTGACATAAAGCAGTGGCTGCAGGGGCGGCCATGATGTCTATGAATGCTCCTGAGGCAAGCCAAGCCAGCATGGCCCTCTTAGTAACAGTGGTAGCAGCTGGCCACACCCAAACCCCTGCAGAGCCCTCTGCCATTAGTGGCAGGGGGTGAGGCAAAAACGGGTATCACACTCTCCCCCCACAATGCCGTTCCCTTTCTGTCTCTATTTTCTTGCAAGTAAGGTTGACCATTCTGTTGTGACTGAGAAGCATCCATTAACTAGAGGGTCAAACATCCCCTCTACCCCTCCCTAGTAATGACCCAAAGGTAACACCTCATCCCTACTCTCTTTTTCACTGGAGAAAGGAGCCATTGCTCCCTGGGGTACAGATGGCTCTTCTTCTTCCTGATGGTACTGCGGGAGCCCCATCTCTAACTGTGGAGCAGAATGTAAATGCCTCACTGTGAAATGCAGTATAATTGGATGTACAATCACTATGAATCACTTGAAGATAAGATTCGGTCCAGCACAAGCCTGTGTGGTATAGACACAGCCCTGTACGAGTTCCGAGATAGGAAGAAAGTTCCAGAGGGAGATGGTGATTTTGGAACTCCCAGCTCAGCGGTGAAAGATGATGCCCTGGTGGAGAAGAGCTGAGGGTTGAGGACTGAGCCTGGGACACTAATTGGGTGGCAAGGTTACTCAAGAAGAGTGAGTCAACGAGAGACATGGAGATGGGCAGAGATTATGGAAACAGAAGCCAAGAGAAGAATTTCCAAAGAAGGGAATCACTGTTGGCAAATGAAACAAGCTGAGTGGTGTGAAAATAGATACAATTGTGTCTAGCTGGAAAGAAGCTTCAGGTGGCAAACTATGGCCCATGAACCAAACCTAACCCACCACCTGTTGATATAAGCAAAATTTTCTTAGGACACCATCACACCTATTTGTTTAGCTTATGGCTGGATAATCTATGGCTGTCTCATACTACAAAGGCAGAGTTGTTGGAGCAGAATCTGTATAACCCACAAGGCCTAAAATATATACTATCTAGACCTTTACAGAAAAAGTTTGCCAGCCTGGTCTATATGAACTACAAAATATTCAACTCAAGCTATGTGTTGGGACTCTGGGAGAAAGCAAAGAAAACTGGTGCAACTTTACTTAGAAGCTGAGCTGATCTGGATCCAGAATTGTTCCCAAGGTAATGATCCATCCAAAGAAGACTAGTCTAGTTGGTGGCCAAATTCAGTCAAATCTTCCATGATGTCCCTTCTTACTGCCACTACCCTAGTGGAGGCCCTAATCACCCCTCACCTGGACTGGCACAGTGGCCTCCTCACTGTTCAGAGAAGGGACTCATTCCCTCCTCTTAATGCCTGGTCTGGGAACCCCAAAAAGTCAAGGTGACCCATGGCCCCATGGCACCTTCTTCAACCAGTCTTCAGGCTGCTGCTCTATCCCAGGGAGAATGCTACCATGGCTGACTTCAATCTGACCCAAACTTATTTTCAAGCCACACTTTTAAAATTATAATACACAGATATTGGGAAGGTTTCTTGAAAAGGTGCTATTTTTTTTGTTATATCATTTTATTTTGTATATCAGTGCCAGGTCTCCAAAAGCAATCCACCAGCTAATACCAGGATTACTTTGACCGATTTAGGGTCAGGAATAGAAGTCAATACAGTATGCTAGTGTTCCCAAAGCAGGTTTAAAAAAATCCTACTACCACAAGATGCTCTATGAAAATAGATTTTTTTAGTCAAATAACTTGGAAAAGTTGGAATACTTAAGCTTCCCTATTAAAGTCTCACAGTGCATATTAATATATTCAAGGATTTGAGAATTCCCATAACTACAACTCTCCATAGCTTTGTTTAATCCAGTGTTTCACACACGGATTTGACCAAGGAACTCTTTTAAGGAGCACCAGTTAACATCTTGAGGACACTTTGGGAATTAGAAAAAAGAGGGGAGAGCATGGAAGTCTGAGCAGGGCTGCAGACCAGGAAGATTTTGGCCCAGAAGGTACAGCAAGGACTTGATTACATGGGGTGTCCATGTCTGGGGAGCTGTTCTGAGTATAGGCAGGGGGTGGGAGGGAGGTCAGAGATGAGCAAGAGATAGTTTATGTATTCAAGGGATTTCCCATCAAGGATATTCCCCAGTCTAGCCTAGACACCTGGTTCAACCCTGCTCTCCCAGCTGGCCCACACATTTGCTAAGCCCTGATGGGCAAGTACACCCACAGAGTAGTCAAGTCATGTTAGATAATTTCAGGCTTTTTCAGTAAAGGTGATTTCATTAAATGTGTAATAAAGGTAAATAAAGTTTGGATACCTGAGTGAGAGTTTAGTATAAATAAATTCTCAAATCAGAACAAAGTATTTGTCAGGCCATGTGCCTCAAATTTTGGTTCAGAAAGCATGGTTCCTATAACTCTGCAAGTCATCTTTTCTTTGCTACCATCTTCCTGGACATGCACCTGCCCCTCCTTTCCTCATGTTTCTTCTTGTCTCTCTCCCAGCCTCTGGTGCTGTTGATGGAGTGGCCTGAAGCCACCAACTTTGCCTGCCTGATTGCGGGGTACTGCCGTCTCCTGCTGGATTCCAGGAAGATGGTCTTTTCCAGGCCTGCCAGCCAGCCTCTTCCACCTCCAATGATCAAGGCAGGTAGGGCTCAGCCTCAGTTTTCGGTGTTCCAGAGGCCCTCTGGACCCTGGACACATGCAGGGAGGAGCTCTGTTGCCTTAGTGGTCACCGTCTTACACCAGTGCCTGGGTTGCTAGGAGCCAGCGCTGTACCATTGTGTCCTACCTGGCACAATCCAGAGGGAAAGACACCTGGCCTTCAGATGGGCTTGTCCCACAAAGGATGCCTGTGACAATACATTGTGATTGAGTCAGTGAATGAACGTAAGATAAAAATAGCAAACAATCAATAAATAGAACCAATTAAAGAATCACACTGGATCTAAGGCAAAGCTTTAGAGTAACAGTGATCTAGGAGAGATGTGTGGCTGTTCTGGCTTAGTTGAAGTGAAGTGGAGATTGAAAATGAAGATAAAACCTTTCTTTTGTCCATCTAGCGGGGATTGACAGAGTTGCATGAAGGAAGAGGCCACAGAAGGCTGGGGGAGGAAAGACTATAGACCCAGAGTGCAGGCCAGCAGGGAGCTTAAAGATATGAGGGGATAACCACTAATCTCAAGGTCAAGTGCAGCTCCCAAACAGAAGCAGCCACCCCTTGGAGCTGTCCTGGTGATAGCATGAACAGGGGGGGCCTTAGGAAAAATCAGCCCAGTCCAGGTACTGCTGACCCAAACCGAAGTGGGAAGAGAAGGAGGAAACCCAAAGGACAGGTACCCACATATTAGACCTACGGTTCAAACATGTGCAGTAAGTGCTCCCTCACCCTAGCACCCAAACTTCACGGGCAGAAGCTGAGACTTCCCACCCTGTAGTCACCCTCCTCACATGCTGAAGTCTTTCCATCCACTTGCCTTGCATCTCGATTATTTCTTCTCTCTTCAAGGCTGCCTTGGTTTGTAGTGTAGCGTGGTCATGTCTGATCTAGATTAAAGAGTTTGAGAGTAAACAACACTCCTGATGGGGCCATGTACCCCCACGCACCCTCTCCTCTCATTGTCGCTTTATCATGAACATCACAACAAGCCCATGTGTACATCTCACAACAGCGTCCATGGGAATTACAAGGCAGTCCGCCAAACACAGGACTGGGGAAAGGATAGGTGGCCCCAAGGCGTGGGATGGAGGCACCACAGAGAGAAGCAAAGGAACTGATGAAGAGCAGGAAGCAGCCACAGGGCCAAGTGGCTGCATGGGTCCAGGGGAATAGCACTGATGTGGGCACCACGCATGTGACCAAGCCTGTGGATGGCCAGGTGATGGCAAAGCCAGCGTTAGCACTACCAGTGTCTCCTGCAATCCTCCCTGTCATCACACCCAAGTAAATTCAACCTCTTACTGAGCAAGATAAGAGAGTGAGAAAGGGGAGAGGGAAGGCAGAAGGAAGAGCCTGGAGCCCAGCCAAGGACCAAATGTGGAAGTGAGGGTTGTTTGTTGTGGGGTGGAGGGGTCCACTTTCAGAAGGCCCCAGAGGTGGCTCTGTAACCCTCCTCTGCCTTCTAAAGGGTTTCTGTCACCCCAGAACACCCTAGCCACTGCTGTCCTTAAGTATTCCCCTTTCTATGGGGATAGTGGCACCAAGTGAGGGACACAGCCTTCAGTGTCCCTTCAGCCTCACTGAACACATTCCACATTGTGTCCCTGTTGCTTTCTCAATGGCAAATCAGTTTCATCAGATTCTCTGAAGGGTGTTGCAGCCTGGAAAGGCTTCTGTAACTGCTAGGCATGGCTTTAGAGCCCCCCCCCCACTGATTCCTGATACGCACCCCCTTGGGCCTGCAGAGTGACAGGGGCTCAGGTTGCCTCTAAGATGGGTCTCTCTGTCCATGCTGGAGCCAGATGGACACCAACTATGGTATCCCCACTACAGTGCCGCATCTCCCTAGAGGTTTGGCAGTACTTGGCCTTTTGGACTGCTAGATGCTGGGTCGTCAGCAGCCATTGAGTGCTCTTGGTGAGTAGGGTGGGATAAGCCTCACAGCTCTGCCTGTTGGGAGCTGGTATGCAAATCTTATCCCATGGCCCCAAGAAAGGGAAAGGGGGACCATAAGGGGCAGCACTGAGGAGCCCTCCACCTAGGTTACAGTGCAGGGCCATCAATTTCTGGTGCAGAGTTGAAATTGGTTTCCTCTGTTGGCTCCCACTTTCATCCCAGTACAGAAGCCCCAGAGTCCACTGTTTAGCAAAGGCCTACCAGGAACAGGCATCCTGCCAGCCTCATCTGGGCTTTTTCCTCGAGGTCTGGTCTCTCTGGCTGGCCCTATATTCTTGTCCAACTCAGTGCTGGCTGCTAGCTAGCCCAACTCAGTGCTTAGCCAACTGGGCCTAAAAGATGCATTAAGCCAGCAAGTGGGAAAGAGAAAGCATCACCTCTCATCCAAGACCCAGAAAAAAAGGCATGGAAAGGAAGGTGTTGCCTCTTGGGCTTTATCAGTAGTTTCCCCCAAGTAGGTATTTCACTTACTCAACAACTGTTTCTCAAGTACTCATTATGTGCCAGGCACTGCAGATAGAACCAGGAACAACAGATACGGTCCTTGCCCTCACAGAGCTCACAATCTAGTGGCTGAATACAGACAATTAAAGGGATAATGTCAATGCAGTAAATGCCTTTGCATTTATATAGGGGAAATTCAACCTCCACAGCACAACATCTGGGCCTGAGGAAACAGCTTAGAGAAAGGCTCAGACAAATACCACTTCTCCACCCATACATGGGATGGTAGGAAATCCAGAGGCAGCTGCCACCTCTCTCCAACTTTAATCTCCCTGTATCCTGGGGCAGTCCAGGAAAATAAGACTTTTGGGGCCTCAGTGGGGGCCACACTTGAAGGAACTCACTGAGTATTTCTCCCATGGTTAGAAAATAGTTTGGTCTGGTGAATTGAATATTCTGGCCAACGGGTACTATGTATCCCATGCATGGCTTACTGATTTTCATGTAGTTCAAACCCAGCAACATACACAGAATACTAAAGCTAGATTGAACATAACAGACTCTTTTTTGATGATTCAGAAAGAACCTGAGATTCTCACAGGGACTCTAGGTCATCATTATTCTTCACCATCAGACTGCAGAATACAGCAAGGCCAAGTCATAGAAAGCTGATTGAGTCAATGCTACACTGACTATATATATAAGCTGCATATATTTTTGAACATAGCTCCGGTTGGATCACCATCCTGTTCTATGCAAGCATATTTTTTTAAAGTGAATCTTCTGAGTGGCTGAGTGTGGAGGGGTAGACTAGGGCATCCCCCTTGGGGAATGCTGATGAGCAATTTACAGCAGATTTGCAACCTGGGAAGCACTGCTGTCCCAGCCATCAGCCTACTGCACCTGGCTTTACTTGAATTTCTAACCTCCTGTCTGGAGATTCGGGCTGCTCCAGCCACATTTTTCTCCTCTGCACAGACCCATTCTGCTTCTCAAATCTGGAAGTCACAGTACCAAGTGGTAGGCTGTGCATCACCTGGCCTTGACAGCCTGATGTTGTGGAGGCATTTTTCCATCTTGCAGGAAGAAAAACCACCCTTAGACCTGCAGCCCTTGTCTGAGAAGAGTCACCACGTGCTTACAGAGCATGCCTCTGGGAGCCACCTCTGTGGCTGCTTATTGCCAGGCTAGCTACAATGACTGTTCAGCTGTCTCTTAGGCAGTTAGAACCTAGCGCATGGCCAGGACCTGTGGACAATGCCTTAGGGCAGAGACCTCCTGAACTAATAGTTCATGCTCCTAAGGCACTTCTTCCCAAAGGCTCAGAGGCTCATTACATACTTTCCCCCAGCTGACCCAGAGCTCCCTAGATACAGCCACTAAAGCCTAAATTGAACCAACCTAATGGCTCCATATTTAGTGGGGCAACATGGTGTATGGAAAACAGCAAGAGCTCAGAATATAAAATCATAGGGACACGGGTTCCAGTCCCTGCCTCTGTATCTTAGTTTTGCCATCATGAACAAGTTCCATAAACCTAGTCTCAGTTTTCCTCATCTGCAAACTGAGGATAGTAATACTACCTACCTCTTGAGGGATTTGACAGGATTATGTGAGTTAAACCCCATTAAGTCCTTTCAAGTGCAGAGTAAATTTTTGCTCTTTTTAAAATGATTCCAAGTTCATCATGTGCCCAGTGCTGGGCTTCTTTTGTTAACAAATAGCTTTATTTAGATATAATTTCCAAGCCAGAAAATTCACCCATTTAAAGTTCACAACTGAGTGTTTTTGAGTATACTGAATATATTCACAGGGCTGTGCAATCATAACCACAATTTCATGTTAGAACATTTTCACCACTCTTGAAACAAACTGTACCCATTAGCATTCATTTCCTATTCCTCTTCTAATCACCATTCAGCCCTAACCAACCACTAATTGAGTTCCCGCCGCTATAGCTTTGCCTATTCTGGACATTTTGGATAAATGGAATCATATATAGATATGGTATTTTTGTAGCTTGCTTTGGTCACTTAGCATAATGTTTCAAGAGTCATCCATGTTGTAGCTTCATTTCTTTTAATGGCCAAATAGTAGTCTATCATATGACTAGACCACATGTTGTTTATCCATTCATCAGTTGTTGGACCTTTGGGTTGTTTCCACATTTTGGCTATAATGAAGAATAGTGTTATAAATACTAATGCACAAGTTTTGTGGCAACATATGCTTTCATTTCCCTTCAGTATACACCTAGGAGTGGAGTTGCTGGTTAAATGGTAACTCTGTGTTTAACTTTGAGAAATTGCCAAACTGTTTTGTATGACTGCACCATTTTACATTCCCTCCAGCAATGTTAGAGGGTACAATTTCAACATATCCTCATCAACGCTTGTTAATTGCTCATTTTTTAAATTACATCCATTATAGTGGATGTGAAGTGATATCTCTTTATGGTTTTCATTTGCGTCATCATAGCTGATGATGTTGAGCATCTTTTCATGTGCTTATTGGCCATTTGTAGATCTTCTTTGATGAAATATCTATTCAAATCCTTTACCCATTTACAAATTGGGCCATTTGACTATCACAGATTCATTTCTGGACTCACAATTCTATCCCATGGATCTATATCTGTCCTTATTCCAGTGCCACACTGTCTTGATTATCATTGCTTTGTAGTAAGTTTTGAGATCAGGAAGTGTGAATCTTCCTATTTTGTTTTTGTGTTTTAAGATTGTTTTGGTTATTCTATATCCCTTGTGATTCCATATGAATTTTTGAATCAGCTTGTCAATTTCTACAAAGTCAGCTGAGATTCTGAATGGAACTGTGCTGAATCTGTAGATCAATTTGGAAAGTATTGCCCTTGCAGTGATATTAAGTCTTCTAATCCATTTATTTAAATCTTTAGTTTCTTTCACAAATGTTTTGTAGTCTTCAGGGTACAAGTCTTATGCTTCATTCATTAAATTTATACCTAAGTATTTTATTATTTTTGGTGCTATTATAAATAGAATTGTTTCCTAATTTCATTATCATATTGTTCATTGCTGGTGTATAAAAATACAATTTATTTTTGTATATTAAGCTCTTATCCTGCAACTTTGCTGAGCCTGTTTACTAGTTCTAATAGTTTATTAGTGGATTCCGTGGGATTTCCTATATGCAAGATCATGTCATCTGCAAATAGTTTTACTTTTTCCTTCCAATCTGGAAACCTTATATTTCATTTTATTGTCTAAGTGTCATGGCTAGACTGTCCAGTACAGTGTTGAATAGAAGTGGTGGAAGCAGAAACCCTGGACTTTTTCCTGACCTTAGAGGGAAATCTTTCAGTCTTTCATCAAGTATGATGTTAGCCTTGGGTTTTCATGGGTAAACTTTATCATGTTGAGGAAGTTCCCTTTAATTTCTAGCTTTTTTAATATTACTGTGAATGGGTGGTAGATTTTGTCAAATGATTATTCTGTGTCTATTGAGATGCTTGTGCAGTTTTTATCCTCCTGTTAACATGGTGTATTACATTAGTTTATTTTGTGATGTTAAACCAACATCACATTCCTGCAATAAATCCCCTATGGTCATGGTGTATAGTTTTTTTTATAGGTTGCTGGATCCAGACTGCTAGTGTTTTGTTGAGGAACCTTGTGTCTATATTCATAAGAAATATTGCTTTGTAGTTTTCTTGTGATGTCTTTTTCTGGTTTTGTTATCAGAGTAAAATTGCCCCATAGAATAAAGTGAGAAGCACTCTCTCTTTTTCTATTTTTTTAGAAGGGTTTGTGAAGGTTTAATATAAATGCCTCTGGCATTTGACAAAATTCACCAGTAAAGCCATCTCAGCCTGAGATTTTTTTTAGGGGGAAGAAGGGATATTTCTAATTACTAATTCAACTTCTTTTCCTGTTATTGGCCTATTCTTATTCCCATCCTCTCGAGTTTGGTAGTTTGTGTGTTTCTAGGAGTTTATCCATTTCATCTAGGTTATCTAATTTTTTGGCATAAACTCATTCATAGTATTTCCTTCTACTCAATTTCATATCTGTAGAGTCAGTAGTGATGGCCCTTCTTTTGTTCCAGATTTTAAGAATTTGAATCTTCTCCTTTTTTAGTTTGGTATGTATAGCTAAATGTTTGTCCATTCTATTGATCTTTTACAAAGAACCAACTTACAGTTTCATGGATTTTCTCTATTGTTTTTCCGTCCTCTATACTTTCCTTCTGCATGTTTTGGCTTTAGTTTGCTCTTCAAGTCTCCTGAGGTGGAAGTTTAGCTTATTGATGTGAAACCTTTCTTCTTTTATAATGTAGGTATTTACCACTGTAAATTTGTTTCTAAATACTAATTTAAGCAGATCCCATAAGTTTTGGCATGTTATATCTTCATTTTCATTCATCTCAAATTATTTTCCACTTTTCCTTGTGATTCTTCTTGACATATTGGTATTTAGGAATCTTTTATTTAATTTCCACATATTTATACATTTCCCAGATTTCTTTCTGCCATTGATTTCTAATTTAATTCACTTGTGCTCAAAAAACATTCTTTGTATGATTTAATTCCTTTCAAATTTATTAAGGCTCATTTTATGAGCTAACATATGGTCTATCTTGGAGAATATCAGGTGTGCTTGAGAAGAATGTTTATTCAGCTGCTGGTAGGTGGCATGTTCTCTAGATTTCTGTTAGGTCTAGTTAGTTTATAGTATTGCTCAGGTCCCCTGTTTCCTTGTTGATCTTCTGCCTCATTGTTCTATCCATTATTGAAAGCAGGGTATTGATGTCTCCAACTATTGCTGTTGAATTGTGTGTTTCTCCTTTCAGTTCAGTCAGTTTTTGCTTTATGTATTTTGGAGCTCTGTTGTTAAGTGCCAGCACTGTGCTTTTGTGATGGCTGTAAGCTTTAGTGAAAAGCAACACAACTGAACTTTGAAAGGTATTTTGAAGTTTTGTTTTCCAGCACCTTGCCCATAGGTCATAGGTGAACTATAGGGTAATGGTTAAAAATATGGGGCTTTATAGTCCTTCAGACCTGGGCTCAAATCCAGACTGCCATTTATGACTCATGTGACCTTGGTAAGTCACATAACCAAGCTGGATCAGTTTCTTCCTCTGTAAAATGGGAATAATGATAGCACCTATCTCATTGGGTTGTTATGGGGACTAAATAGGATCATGTGTGATGACGACCTTAGCCTAAGTTAATGCTTGCTTGCCATCTGTCTATCTGCTGATAGCAAAGTGAGTTGGCACTGTCTGAGTATATTCTCACAGATAACATGGGGAAGGTCCCCCAAAACAGATTAAGAGAGAGAAGCCATTCAGAGATCAAGCATTTGCTATGGATTCACAGATGCACACACTTACCATCATTAAAAGCTATTGACTAAAACATTTTACCACATGTATGTATAGCAGGCAGGCTGGCCCTGCATGAATACAGAGAAGAAATGCAATTTGAAGAATTGTAAGAATGCTCCTTCCACCTTCTTCCCACATATGCACATCCCAGCATATCTATCATACACTTTATACATTCAGATGCCCAGAATTCTACTAGTAGAGCTTTATTCTTTCAGGGTCTCTCCAGCAACAGTTCTCTTTGAAATAAGAATTCTCAGGCATCATACATGGCCTGTTTTATTTTATACTTTCCCACGAAGGCACAAGTAACTTGTCAGATTTATTTCCTTTCACTGAAAGATATCCAACACAACATAAGAGCAGCAGAGCACTGGGGGTTGGAAAGGCTCTGAAAGGATGGGGCAGGGACAGGGACAGGGACAGTTTCATGGGGGACATAAAATAAATCTCATTTATTTCAATATGCATACAGCACTTTCAGACCAGACATTCCCATGTAAAAATCCAGCTGTGCCCAGATACCAAGGTGTTCACCCCCACCCCATCTCACCCCATGCCTTTTTCCATGTCAGAAGTGATGGGGCTATTAGCAGCTGAGGCCACTCGATTCTACTCACTCTACTTTCAGGGTTGGCGGTGACATGGCTGCCCCTTCTAATCTCTAGCAGCCAGGCAATGTTCTCTTTCATGGTACCTGCCACCCAACCGTGCACCAGAAACCCAAGCCAGAGATGCCAAGAGCTCAGCGACAGTGCTCAGCACCAGGGCTCATCTGTTGATTCTCTTTCTGGGTTTAGATTACATGCACAGCGCCCACCGCCCTGTCACTGGGGGCCACCTGGGGAAAAAGGAGAGTAGTTATGTGGGCAGCATGGGCACCAGCCCCAGGAAGTCGAGCCGCTGCACACCCCCGCCTGCCGACTCTGAGCTTGTCAGCTTTTGCTACCTCCACATGCGGGAACAAAGGAAGGAGCAGGAAAGCCGGACAGATGTCAATGAGAACTTAATCTTCTTTGAGGAGACCAGGCCCCGGACCAAGTCTGATCCCACGTCCAAAAGCTCTGGCCAAGGTTACGGTGTAGTCCCTGATGACTTTGATGCAGCCAGCCTAGACCATGAGCCCTGTGCAAGCAGGGTCCGGTCCTACACCTTGGACAAGTCCCCTGGGGCTGAAGCCCTGAATTTCTACTGTGATTCTTGCAAAGCCAAACTCCAGGAGCAGCTGGGCCCTTGCAAAGGCGGGAGGCCTGGCTCTTCTCGTGACAATATGGTAGACTTGATGTCCCTCCCACCCCCAGGGAGTGAGGAGGAGGAGGAAGAGGAAGATGAGAGCACTTCACTGTTGCCTGCCATTGCCGCCCCACCTCCGGGTTTCCGAGACAACAGTTCTGATGAGGATGACCCCAAGCGCCGGGCCGTCCAGAGCCAGGAGCAAGGACGCCACCTGCGTGGGCTCCTGTACGATGAGATTCCAGTGACATTGATTGACAGTGTGCAGACCCGTACAGTCCGAGATCATGCCCAGGAGCTAGATGATGCCCTGGTGTCCACTCTGCAGGCTCTGGAAGCCCTGGCAGCCTCAGAGGATGGGCCACACCCCCCACCCCCACAGACTGCAGGTAACAGCCCATTCCTCCTCCCTCTTGCCTCCCTCTCTTTCTCCCGGCCAGGCAGGGCCAGCAGGTGGCACTACTTCTGAAGTCAAGCGGAGGGGAAAGTCTCCGTGGTGTGTCAGGGCATTGGACAAGCAGAGGTAGCTCAGATAGGGTCAGGGGAGCAACAGCACCGCACCAGGGACCGGCTGCACAGCTCCAGCTGGAGCTCTGGCTCTTGCCATTCCATGTCTGGAAATGTCTTGCAGATGGACCCCAGGGATTGGGGCTGTGACAGCTACGGAGCCAGGCCAGGATGGAGGATCAGAGAAAAGTTGTGAAAGATTTAGAAGACAGGCAAAGAACAGCCAACATGCACATGACTGGAAGAAAAACAAAACGACCAACTAACCACCTAGTGACCTGAGATCAGGGGAGCCAGGAGCCTTCATTGCTCAAGGCTGAGGTCTTTATCCTGCCTAAGAGCCCAGACTCTCAGTAGATGCACCCAAATCCTGGCTTCTTCACTCCCTTTCATTGTGACCTTTGGCAAGGTAGTTACCCTCTCTGAACGTCACTTTGTCATCTTAAATAGGTTTGGTAACAACAGTCATATCACAAAGGTTTATTGTAAGGACTAAATGAGACCATGCAAAGCACTTAAGCACTGCCTGGCACAAAGTAAGGACCCAGGAAATGGTAGTTATTCTTATTAGTTATTATTTGGTGGGCGAACCATACCACATCCATGTTATTACCCTGTTATAGATACACATATGTCCATCTTGTAGACAAACACATGTCAGCCATGTACCCAGATTCACACATACATACATTCTTACACATATACCTTAAAAAGAAGAGGTAAATGATAAAACAACAGAAAATAAATAGGAAGGAATAAGGCATCTGGATAACCATGGGAGGTGGGGGGAAGTGGACAGACAGGGTGAAGAGGTCAGGGTCAGCGGAGGCCTGGGTGACCAGGGAGTGTACCAGCCCCTGCCATTTCTGTATGTGAGGGCATCCTTGGTGTTGGGCAGCCCCCATGTGATCGCCTCCCACCCCCAACCCTGGGTCAGCATTTCTCTTGGCTCTGAGTCTGGACCTCTAAGCACTAGTTGCTCCCAAGCTAGAGGCCCATTTGGTAGCCAGAGAGAGGAGTAGCTCAGCTAAGTGGCCTCAGATACAAGGACTGTAGTAGGCCTGGCCAGACAGAGAGGGACCTGTCTTTGCCAGTCATCTTCAAGACAATTAACAAAACCTTCCTAGCTATTGAAGCTAAAAATAGTGATGATTAGCATGTTGTTTTGCATGTAATTTGCATGGTAATTTGTCATCAAACTGCCCAGATCTTCCCCATCTCTTTTGTTTCTCTTTTGGATTCTGTCCCCTGGCTTGCCTCTTCGTCCCCACCTCTCCTCTCCTCCCACACTGCACCCTGCAGTCCCCCCACTTCTGACTGGTTTTCCCTATCTTGAAACACTGCTGGCTAACCTTGGGCCCCATAATCTCTTCACGTACTGTTGGAAAAGGCCGGGATCTGAGTAAGTGCAGCAAGCCCTGTCCCTGTTCCCGCAGGTCTGATTGTGCTGGCCACAATCACCCCAGAATCATCGTTGGACTCCGGCCATGAAACCAACTCCTCAGAGCTCACGGACATGTCAGAGATGATGTCTGCCATGAAGCAGCACCAGAACACCACCTACTTCCTAGCCCAGCACCTCAACAAGGACAGCCTCCTAGCCCGCAAGGACCTGCCCTTCCGGATTCAAAGCTGTGCAGCCCAGGCTGTTCTCACAGCCCCTTATTCTCTTGGGCGCCCAGATCCCAACTCATCCCTGCAGCCAGCTATCACAGGCCAGAGTCCTGGCGCCCCTGGCGCTCGGAGGAAGCTGCCCTCGTCAGAATCCCAGCCACAGCGAGAGCGAACATACACGTTGGCAGTGCACCCAGCACTGTCCCCACAGCTTAGTGACCAGAAAAATCTGAGTCTGCTGTCCCCTGCTCCTGAGGACAAAGGGTCTGTCCACACTAGGGCAGGTCTAGAGATGTCACTGAGGGCAGCCACACCATCCCTCAATGAAGAGCAGGTCTCCGAGCTAAGGGAGAACCTGCCCAAGGAGGTCAGGTTGAGCCCCAAGCTTATCCTGGACCCAAAGGGCAGTGTGACCCCAGCCATCATCTCGGCCACCCTACAGCAGGTGGTTTCCACCAAGAGCCTACCTGCCCCTGGTGGGGCCTTGGGGAACACCCCCAGCAGTGGGGAGAAGAGGCTGGAGGCCTGCATTGGGAGGCCAGAAGTTAGCATGATGAGCAGTAGTGCCAATAAGAATCTTAAGTTCAAAGTGAGTCCCAGTGCTCCAGAGACCTCGCACAGTTCGCAGCAGCAGCTGAGCCCAGAGGTCTCTTCTAGCTCCAGAGCACCCGCGGGCAGCCGGACTGACAGCCTGCACCTCACCCCACAAGATGACAGGCTGCCTGTTGAAAGCTTACCTCCCAAAAGCTATCTTTTACGAGCAAGTCGAGAGACAGTAGGCAAGCAAGCTACAGGGGAGGTGGCAGGCAAGGGTGGGTCAGAGGGTACTAAGCCTTCTCTACACAAGCAGGGCACCGTCTCTGGCCAGGCAGAGAAGGGGCAGCTGGAGAGCACACCCCAAAGCAGCAAGCTTGAGGAGATGAGCCTGGTCCCCAGAGCTGGCTACCCTGTGGCTCTGCAGAGCCCAAGCTGCCAGCCTCGAGGTCAGAGCCCCAGCAGCCAGTCCCGAGGCCAGAGCCCCAGCTGCCAGCCTCGAGGTCAGAGCCCACTGAGGCCCCAGGCTGCTATCCGGCAGGTGAGCACCATGCCCTCCAGGAAGCTTGAAACGACCCTGGATACAGCCCACTCGGCCTCTGAAGGCCCAACAAAGCCAAAGTCATCCCGAGGTCCTTTCCGGCTACGCAATTTATTCTCTGCCACCTTTCCAACCCGCCAGAAGAAGGAGACAGATGAGCGGCAGGTCCAGCTGCAGAAGGTAAAGCAATATGAGCTGGAGTTCCTCGAGGAACTTCTAAAGCCACCAAGCCAGGGAGAGCTGCCAAGCACCGAGTACCTGCAACCTCCAGCCCCAGGCCGCTGCAGCTGCCAGCTACGCAGCAGCCCCGTGCAACAGGGGCCCGGCATGTCCCGTGAGCAGAGGCGCAGCTGCGATTGCAAGCGCATCTGCCGGGGGGGCCGACCTCAGGCCCCACAGACGCCGGTGCCCAGCCTCCGGGGAAGGGAGAGGGATAGGGTCCCCCCTACCCTGAGGCAGCCAGAAGCAGGCCCAGGCTTGAGCCTCAGCAGCCCCACTAATGTCCAACGTATCCGCTCTACCAGCCTGGAATCCCGAGAGTGCCGCTCGGACCCTGAGAGTGGTGTTTCCTGCCTGACCACGTGTGCCTCGGGGGGTGAGTGCCTGGGAGCTCCCAACTACAGGAAGCTGATGCGCCGCTACAGTATCAGTGAGCTGGACCAGGGTGACAGGGCCTCACTGACCTCAGACGTCTACCCACACCCACCCCTGGGCATGCTACCCAGGGAGGCCAAGGAGGTGGAGGCAGGCCTTCTCCTTGGCTTGGGCCCCAAAACCAAGTCGCCAGAGTCCCCAACATTGGGAGACCCCTCATATGTCCAGGTCGCCCCTGAGACCAAAGGCCCCAGACAGATGGCTGTGTTCTCCCTGCCAGAAGAGGTGTACCGGAAGCCTGCCGAGCTTGACGAGGACAGTGAGAGCAGCAAGTGCTGCTCCATCCGCTACTGCTTCTATTACCGCAAGTGCGACATGGCAGATGACGCCAGTGACGGCAAGGATGAGCTGTCCTACTCCATCCCCATGAAGATTCTGCCCGGCATGAAGCTGGACGAGCAGGTGGTGCCTGTGGTTAGCAGGACCCTGCAGGTGCTGGATGCCGCCACCTGCAGCAGCAGTCTCGAGGCCTCCCACACCCAGGAGATTGACCTGCGGGTGTCCACCTTTGAGGGGAGCCTGGCCAAGATCAATGCCCTTCGGGCACATGCCTATGGCCTGCCTGATGGCTTTCTGGCTGCCCGGCTGGACACCAATGAGCTGCTGACAGTCCTGCGGCAGTGCGTGGCCAGCCCTGAGGCCCGCGCCCCCAAGCCCTATGTGTCCCAGATCTCTGAGTACAAGCTCGAGCTGGCTGTCAAGTTTAAGGAGCTTCGGGCCTCCTGCCGCCGCGTGGCCAATGTGGACAAGAGCCCAACTCACATGCTGGCAGCCATCACAGGCAGCTTCCAGGTGCTGAGCAGCCTCATTGAAACGTTCGTGCGGCTGGTGTTCATTGTGCGCTCCGAGGCCCAGCGCCAAGAGCTGCTGGCCAAGGTAGAAGAGGTGGTGAGGAACTACACTTTCCTGCTGCGTGCAGCTGAGGAATCCACCACCCGGAACCTTAACCAGCAGCAGCAGCAGCAGGAGACAGCAGCAGCTATAGGGGCCGCCACGGGGCACCCTCCGGCCTCCCCAACTTCTGCGACTGTTATGAGCACATTCACCCGCTCCTTAAAAACCCTCATTAAGTAGGCCATCTGCCCAGGCCTGCCCTCCTTCCCCAGCCACAGCCCCAGGTTTGAGCTTTGTGGTCCTTGCATCTTGTGGTGAGTGTGTTTGTCTGCTGGGCCAGTCAGGGTCTGTGAGCCTCCAGTCTGCAGGGAGTGGAAACTGCCTGGATTGAGGCTGTCCCTTAGGGCTCCAGGCAGCTGCCACCCTGGATGTCCTCACCCCTACCCTGGCCTCTGGGCGTCACTGTGAGGGCCAAGGCCCCCATCACTACACCCACCGCAGAGCTGTATTCTATCTCTTCTCCAGAGCTGACAGGTGACAACAGTCTCACTTCTGCTCTATCTGGGGGACCACAGCAGCTGGGGCCTGAAGCAGGCAGGCCCACAGGCCTTGAGCTCCTCCCAGAGTCTGCTCCCCTCCAAAGGTGCAGTGGCAGTAGCAGCAGGCCACAGCAACAGCATAGCAAGCAGAGCGGAGAGGGCCTTCAGCCCAGATGTGCCCACCCACCCTGGGCTCACACTTACTCGGCAGGAGCCCCCACAGAGGGCCTGTGCCCAGGTGGCAGGTCTGCAGAAAACAGCCCTGAGGAGCTGTTTGCAGCCAGTCCAGCTGGCTAGCAGCCTTGGGAGCCCTAGCCCCCGGGGCCCAGTAGCTCCACACCAGCCATCCCCAAACTGCCCTGTCCCTTTGGTGGACAGGGCGGCTCAGTCCACTAGGGAGCAAGCATCTGGGATTACCCCACTCATTCTGGGTAACGTACCTGATGAAAATGTCTGCTCTGGGGAGATCCAGCCCAGGCCTCGGAGCCTGCCCAGTCCGGCCCAGCCCAGCACACAGGCTGTCACTGCAGGTGTGCGGCTCTTCTCTCAACATCTACCAGATGGACTGTCCTTAGGAGCTCGACTTAGCTACGGACTGGGGGTGGGGGGTGGGGGGAGGGGGGAAGGGGTCAGGGGATGGGGGTGTTGATGACTATATCTTAAACTTCTGGAAGCTACCATGATATGTTAATCCTGAGTATATGCTTTTGGCTGTGTATTGACCCTGTGGATTTGTCTCTCTAAGAAAAGAAGCTGAGCGCCTTACCCGGTGCAGTCCTGCACCTCTCTCTCTCTCCAGTCATCTGGAAGGGAATTCACACTGTTTAGCATCCTCCTTGACACACATCTACTGCTGCCACCGCCACCCCTCACAACCTACCTGGGAGTGAAGACACGGAGTCCCTACCAATTGTCCCACTGTAGGGAACAAGGAAAGCCAATGTTTCTTCTAATAGATTGCTTCTTGTCCACCTCTCCATACCCCCTGTCGCCCACACACTCATGCCCTGTGTCTGCCTCTCTTTCAGCATTACGTGAGAGGCCCATGTGAACCCCCCATTCTTACATGAGTTTTATAAAGATGTACACTGTGCTTAACCCTGCCCATCCTTGGCACCCCCTACTGCAATAAAGCCCCCGCTCTACAGCAGCAGTTTTCTCCTGGTGAGGATTAGGGGAGCTCCTTCTGCAGAAGCTAGCGCCCCCTTCCTTGCTTCTCCCACAGGACCAAGTTGTCTGATGGGCCAGAGTTGCAGACAGCAGAGAGCCCTTCCGCCTTGACCATCGCAAGTTGCAGCTCTGCCTGCCCTGATCTTCCTCTTCCCCCAACTTGTTGATCCTGCGCCTGCACTCCTCTGGCCCCACCTGTGTCATTCCACTGCCATCCTTCACCTCTCCTTCAGCCTCACGGAGAGGACACATTTTCTAATGTCTGTATATAGTATATATACTACATAAAATATATAAATTATATATATATATACTAATTTATGTCTTGTTTTTCAACAAGAATGATTAAATCTATTCATCTTACTATCCCAGTAAGTCTTTGCTGTGCCTCTTTGTGGGGGTCCTTGAAGGGTCCTTGAACTGTGGGTTTGGCAGCCCTGTGAGTGCCCTCCCTGGGCCTCTGCTGCCATCTCCCCCAGACCCCAGTGGGTGATGACTGCTTAGGGCTCTGCTCCTCCCTGTTGAGCATCCTCCTTGACACACATCTACTGCTGCAACCACCCCCCACCCCAACCTTTGCTCCTCTTAGGAGCCTCCTGTTGGTCACAGGAGTTGGATACTTTCTGCTCCTTTATCCTGACTCTGGGGCCTCTAGATCACTCAGCCATCATGGCTCTGATCGCAAAGCTGAAGGGGGGCAGGGAGGCAGAAACACAATGTGCTCCATGCCTGTGTTCCAGATGGCCTAGGAGTTGGGAGACAGGGTTTTAGGCCAGCTCTTGGCTTGCAGTTGGGAAATCGGGCCTCTCCCTCTGAAATGTGCCCTGTCACCCCAGGGTGTAGCCTGACTGCCTTGTAGTTTAGGCCACCAAATCCCGTGAAATGACCTCTGGCAGTTTACTGGGGGAAAGGGGAAGTGTCAATAGAATAGAAGCAGCAAGACCCTAAGCAGGACTGACCTCTCTGGCTTTTGAAGTACCTACTGGTGAGAATGATTTTGTTTCTCTGTTGTCTTCCTTCCTTCTGATAATCACAGGTTCCCACTAGCCCATGAGGTGCCTTTGTGCCACCCACCCCCTCAAAATGAGTTTGAAAAAAAACCACCGTCTGGGTGATGCTAGCCAGGCGAGCACAGGGCTTGGTAATTTCAGCCCCTTCCATCCCCACTGGCCTTGTTGGCCAGGTGCACAAACTACACAACAATGTTCAGGTGGCCCTGATCAATCACTTCCTCCCAAAGGTTGAGTAGACTCTCTTATCTGCAAAGGTCGTGGCTAAAGTAGTTTGGAAGCAAAGCACAGAGGAGGAGCCAGAGAGCACAGTCAGGCCAGGCTGCTCTGCAAGTTCCCCACCACCAGAGACCCACTCCACATGCCAGAGGCCATCAGGGGTGACAGGCCTAGGCCTGCTGGCAGAGCTCTTCTGGGAGCTGCCCGCCAGGGATACCGTCCCACAACCCCAAGGGTGGGGCTCCGTGGAAGGCAGTGCCAGTGTAAAGTGAGGCCCACCGCCACTCAAAACAATCCAACTGGACCCTGGCAACTTGGGCTTCTCGGGCCGTGCACTACACTAGTAGCTAGACAGTTAGGGTCAGAAAGTTCTTACGTGGTTCTATACCCTAGGTACTTACTCACACAGTACCCAGCATATGGTAAACCTTCAATAAGTATATGTTAAATGAGATAATTGGCACAAGCTAGCCCTCCTAGACCTCTGCCTCCTGACAAGGGCCCTCTCTGCAGGTGGCTAATCCAGGGCAATGCGGCTGGACAAGGCCAGGCAGCCTGGCCACCTCCTATCAAAGGATGAAGAGTTGGGCCTGTCATCCAGTGTCTGACTCACTCAGCTGAGTTTCACCAACCACTTTCCAAAAGCATTGGAAACTCCCCTGAGGTGACCAATGGTCTCCTTTCCTGGGGACCCAGGGCCATTCCCTGCAATGGCCGGGAGCACTGGGGGAGGCCATCTTCCCAACCAGCATCTTCCCTACCATCTTGGGCTTGAGCCGCAGCCTGAAGCTGATGCGCTTCAGCCACCTCATGCCATACCCAAGTCCCCAGAACGTGGCTCCTGTGCCTTTCTGACTCTAGCCACTTCAAGTAAAATGGGTTCATGCTTTTGGCATGGGCCCAGGATGCTCATGGTGTGGGCACAGTCACATATTTTTCAAGCTGTTGTCAAGGCACTGCAGATAACAGGCAATTTCATCAGCCATGAAATGAAAGGATCTGCCTCAGCAAGAACTTTTCCTGCCAAGGGCCAGCAGAGGATCAGCTGCCAGCACTGGGAAGGGGCATGAACATACGTGTCAGGATCAAATTCCTCCCAACAGCCCCTAGGATGATAGTAATAACTGCATCCCATTCCCCATCCTGTAGGCTGGAAGCCAGACTGTGGGTGTACATCTGGAACAAGGAGGGGGTCCTCCATGGAGTGGGAGGAAATGACCTCCAAAGGGTCAGTCCTGGGTGCTGGCAAAATGCCCAGGGTTCTGGGCAGGTCTCTTGGTTCCAGTGCCAAGACCTGCAAGAAGCCACCATCCAGTGGAGATTCTGGAGGCCGGCCTCACAGACAGAGCTGCTTGCTTCCCTTTGGTGTTCCCATACATCCACATACCAAGTCCTGGGGTGGTATGCCCCTGCTCCCAGCATCCTAGGACACGCTCCCCACACCCTCGCTGACATTGCAGGTTCTGGACCGGCCACTTGGGAATGGGATCAATTTTAACTCCCCTGCCCTCCTGCCTGTGATGTCTGTCCTTCCTTCTGGGTGTTGACTCCTCATTATTATTTTCACAGCTTTGGCTAAAATGAATATGCATCTGTACTATGTTGGGAGCTTTCCACAACACAGAAGAAGGTGATCTACTGCCCTTAAATATGTAAAAACAATGGTGGATGACCACTTGCCATATGCCAGGCACCATGCCAAATACTTTACATGCATGATCTCATTTAATCTTCCTAACAATCTTTTGAGAGATATACTGTGATCATATCCATTTTTCAGAGGAGAAAACTGAAGACCAGAGAGGTTACATCACTAGCTGAGGTCACACAGCAGCAAAGTTGTAAGCCAGATTTCAAGCAAACTCCCCAGTTTTCAAACACAGTCTAGGCTTTCAGCTGCTACCCTACAGTCCTCAGCCCAGCCTTCCCTTTGAAGCACTTCCCCTGGAAACAGTAAAATGAAACATCTTCACTCATCAGAAGGTGGCCTGTAACTTGCTTGGGGTTCAGGCAGCATGTGTGCAACAGGTCATTGATAGCATTGGGTTATAGCTGCACAAGCTCACCTGTCCCTCACCCCCCACCTCTCTTCACCAGGTTGCCCTAGTGCCACATGCCTCTCAGATCCAAGAGGTGGAGTGGTATATATACATGGAATTTTGTAGGTAGAGCAGTTGTGTCCAAAAAGCCATCATCAAAATTATAGGAATCACCCCTGTCAATTCTCCTCAAACTGGGGTCCAAGTCTCCCAGAGATGTGCCTCATAATCCTTATACATTTGCATTTTTTCAAACATCTGGAAGGAAAATATATGAATGATACAATAAATATTTTTATGTATAAAAATAACAGAGAGGAATGCAGAAGTTGCATACCTTGTAAAGAATACATATCATTCCAGATAAAAATGATGAGGAATGGGTCCAAGATCGCAGCACAGAAAAAGCCTGAACTCAGCTCCTCCCACTTTCACACCAAATCTATACCTGCACACAGAGCACTTCATACTAAGAATACACATCCTCTCTTTCAAAACCACTTGAGACTCGTGTCTGATACTTCTGGCTACCTTCCCATAGCCACCTACCCAGTGTCCAGGTTCGCTCTCCTTTACCTCTAGGCACGCTTTGTGGGAATGGTGGACGTGCTCAGGGGCCACCAGATGAGCTAACTGGCAGTGTGGGCCCCAAGGGGAGGACATCTAGAACTGGCCCCTTTCTGTGGATTTGGGCACAGGGTGCGGGGGTCAGGCACTTCTTCAGGGATAAGAGACCTGGTGTGACATGACAGGGAGCCAGGAAGGAACATCGGGAGGAGATGGGGCAGGGTGAACAAAGCCTCCCTCCCTTGCCTGGCCTACTCCCAGTGTCGCCTTGGGCTTTTCTTTAGAAATTGGGAAGCCCACCTGCTGCTTCAGTGGAGCACCCCCATCCTGGGGTGGGCACAGTGAGGCAAACCCAAGGCTCTTCCTGGCCTTTGGCCAATATCCTGGCTTGTTTCTCTGACACACTCCTATCCTCTCTTCATTCTTTTCCTCCTTGCTAGCAGCAGGCAGGCAGCCGGCAGCACAGATTGAGGGGAGGCAGAATCCCTGCAAGCCCGAGATTTCTGCACCTGCAATGAGCAAGCAAAGCAGGAAGGCCATGTGGGCTAAGACGAGCGGTTCTCCCCAGAGTCAGGGCTCAGTTCTATTTTC